GAGCATAGAGCTTGGAACCTAGAGGTTCTCAGTTCAAGCCCCACTCCCACAGCCTGCACTCTGGGTCCCTGAGCTAGACCCTTAACCCCACACTGCTCCCCAGGCGCCGCTCCGTGGCAGCCCACTGCTCCCCAAGGGGAGGGGTGAAATGCAGAGAGTTCAATTGGTTGCTTTGTAGTTGGAATGAGAACAAATGTTGAGTTATATTCTAACATTAACTTTCCCTTTGGGATTAATTAAGTATTTTTGAATTAGTTCTTTTCACATCCCTTACTGCTGAGTTCTTTCTATATGGTGACATTTTCAATTCAGTTTGGGTTCTCCTTGTAAAAGTTATTGTGTTCATCACCGTTAGAAACAGTGCAAAGAATTACTGGTGAGCTGAAGGGGCCATGAAACCAGCAGCATGTTAGCAGCCTCATCCATCACTGGATGGATGAGGCAGACCTTTTCCAGTGAATCCCCTGATCACTGGATGGATGAGGCAGACCTTTTCCAGTGAACCCACTGATCCCTCCATGGACGAGGCAGACCTTTTCCAGTGAATCCCCTAATCACTGGATGGATGAGGCAGACCTTTTCCAGTGAATCCACTGATCCCTCCATGGATGAGGCAGACCTTTTCCAGTGAACCAAATGATCACTGGATGGATGAGGCAGACCATTTCCAGTGAACACACTGATTACTGGATGAATGAGGCAGACCTTTTCCAGTGAACCCACTGATCCCTCCATGGATGAGGCAGACCTTTTCCAGTGAATCCACTGATCACTGGATGGATGAGGCAGACCTTTTCCAGTGAACCCCCTGATCCCTCCATGGATGAGGCAGACTTTTTCCAGTGAACCCCCTGATCCCTCCATGGATGAGGCATACCTTTTCCAGTGAATCCACTGATCACTGGATGGATGAGGCAGACCTTTTCCAGTGAATCCCCTGATCACTGGATGGATGAGGCAGACCTTTTCCAGTGAACCCCCTGATCCCTCCATGGACGAGGCAGACCTTTTCCAGTGAATCCCCTAATCACTGGATGGATGAGGCAGACCTTTTCCAGTGAATCCCCTAATCACTGGATGGATGAGGCAGACCTTTTCCAGTGAACCCCACTGATTACTGGATGGATGAGGCAGACCTTTTCCAGTGAATCCACTGATCCCTCCATGGATGAGGCAGACCTTTTCCAGTGAACCAAATGATCACTGGATGGATGAGGCAGACCATTTCCAGTGAACACACTGATTACTGGATGAATGAGGCAGACCTTTTCCAGTGAACCCACTGATCCCTCCATGGATGAGGCAGATCTTTTCCAGTGAATCCACTGATCACTGGATGGATGAGGCAGACCTTTTCCAGTGAACCCCCTGATCCCTCCATGGATGAGGCAGACTTTTTCCAGTGAACCCCCTGATCCCTCCATGGATGAGGCATACCTTTTCCAGTGAATCCCCTGATCACTGGATGGATGAGGCAGACCTTTTCCAGTGAATCCCCTGATCACTGGATGGATGAGGCAGACCTTTTCCAGTGAATCCCCTAATCACTGGATGGATGAGGCAGACCTTTTCCGGTGAATCCCCTGATCCCTCCATGGATGAGGCAGACCTTTTCCAGTGAATCCCCTGATCACTGGATGGATGAGGCACAGCTTTTCCAGTGAATCCCCTGATCACTGGATCAATGAGGCAGACCTTTTCCGGTGAATCCCCTGATCACTGGATGGATGAGGCAGACCTTTTCCGGTGAATCCCCTGATCACTGGATGGATGAGGCAGACCTTTTCCGGTGAATCCCCTGATCACTGGATGGATGAGGCAGACCTTTTCCAGTGAATCCCCTAATCACTGGATGGATGAGGCAGACCTTTTCCGGTGAATCCCCTGATCCCTCCATGGATGAGGCAGACCTTTTCCGGTGAATCCCCTGATCACTGGATGGATGAGGCAGACCTTTTCCAGTGAACCCCCTGATCCCCCCATGGATGAGGCATACCTTTTCCAGTGAATCCACTGATCACTGGATCAATGAGGCAGACCTTTTCCGGTGAATCCCCTGATCACTGGATGGATGAGGCAGACCTTTTCCGGTGAATCCTCTGATCACTGGATGGATGAGGCAGACCTTTTCCAGTGAATCCACTGATTACTGGATGGATGAGGCAGACCTTTTCCAGTGAACCCCCTGATCACTGGATGGATGAGGCAGACCTTTTCCAGTGAATCCACTGATCCCTCCATGGATGAGGCAGACCTTTTTCCAGTGAATCCACTGATCACTGGATGGATGAGGCAGACCTTTTCCAGTGAATCCACTGATCCCTCCATGGATGAGGCAGACCTTTTCCAGTGAATCCACTGATCACTGGATGGATGAGGCAGACCTTTTCCAGTGAATCCACTGATCCCTCCATGGATGAGGCAGACCTTTTCCAGTGAACCCCACTGATTACTGGATGGATGAGGCAGACCTTTTCCAGTGAATCCACTGATCCCTCCATGGATGAGGCAGACCTTTTCCAGTGAACCAACTGATCACTGGATGGATGAGGCAGACCTTTTCCAGTGAACCCCACTGATTACTGGATGGATGAGGCTGACCTTTTCCAGTGAATCCACTGATCCCTCCATGGATGAGGCAGACCTTTTTCAGTGAACCAAATGATCACTGGATGGATGAGGCAGACAATTTCCAGTGAACACACTGATTACTGGATGAATGAGGCTGACCTTTTCCAGTGAACCCCACTGATTACTGGATGGATGAGGCTGACCTTTTCCAGTGAATCCACTGATCCCTCCATGGATGAGGCAGACCTTTTCCAGTGAACCAAATGATCACTGGATGGATGAGGCAGACCATTTCCAGTGAACACACTGATTACTGGATGAATGAGGCAGACCTTTTCCAGTGAACCCAATGATCACTGGATGGATGAGGCAGACCTTTTCCAGTGAACCCACTGATTACTGAATGAATGAGGCAGACCTTTTCCAGTGAACCCACTGATCACTGGATGGATGACGCAGACCTTTTCCAGTGAACCCACTGATCACTGGATGGATGAGGCAGACCTTTTCCAGTGAATCTACTGATCACTGGATGAATGAGGCAGACCTTTTCCAGTGAATCCCCTGATCCCTCCATGGATGAGGCAGACTTTTTCCAGTGAACCCCCTGATCCCTCCATGGATGAGGCATACCTTTTCCAGTGAATCCACTGATCACTGGATGAATGAGGCAGACCTTTTCCAGTGAATCCCCTGATCACTGGATGGATGAGGCAGACCTTTCCCAGTGAACCCACTGATCACTGGATGGATGAGGCAGACCTTTTCCAGTGAATCCCCTGATCACTGGATGGATGAGGCAGACCTTTCCCAGTGAACCCACTGATCACTGGATGGATGAGGCAGACCTTTTCCAGTGAATCTCCTGATCACTGGATGGATGAGGCAGACCTTTTCCAGTGAATCTCCTGATCACTGGATGGATGAGGCAGACCTTTTCCAGTGAACCCACTGATCCCTCCATGGATGAGGCATACCTTTTCCAGTGAATCCACTGATCACTGGATGAATGAGGCAGACCTTTTCCAGTGAATCCTCTGATCACTGGATAAATGAGGCAGACCTTTTCCAGTGAATCCACTGATCTCTGGATGGATGAGGCAGACCTTTCCCAGTGAACCCACTGATCACTGGATGGATGAGGCAGACCTTTTCCAGTGAATCTCCTGATCACTGGATGGATGAGGCAGACCTTTTCCAGTGAACCCACTGATCCCTCCATGGATGAGGCATACCTTTTCCAGTGAATCCACTGATCACTGGATGAATGAGGCAGACCTTTTCCAGTGAATCCACTGATCACTGGATGGATGAGGCAGACCTTTTCCAGTGAACCCACTGATCACAGACCTTTCCTTTGAAAAGATGATATAAACTTATAGAATGAGGATATTCTCGGAGCTGTTTGGAGAGAAGCTATATTATTTATCAGTATAGATAATCTGGTTAATAATATATGTCTACATTGATTCCAGAAGTTGGTTATGGTATTTTTCTCTCCTAAAGCTTGGATACAAATCACTGATCTATTTTAGGATTGCCGTGTTTTGCTTTATTTGGGAACCACTCTACACAGCTTTTCTACAGAAGCTGTTATAATAATGTGCTGCTTCACTGCTAAGCTGGCAGTTATCAGACCATCCTGGTCCAGAAGGTGAGCACCGGGCTGGGCCCTCACCTGTTACCTGGATAGTGGTCATATGACGTCACATCTTCTCTGACAGTGTAGCAAAACAAGGTGAACCATGGGCGGATGGGGGAAGTCAGCACTAGGGCGCTACGGCGCAGCTCTGACGTCACTGCGTGGGGTTTCCTTCGTGTGTAGCCTGCGTTACGTCGTCATGGCTGAGCCCGGTTGTTTTAGGAAGTCCATGTTCTGCCGAACCTGGCTCCGCGGAGCGCACTGACAGAGTCCGGAGTTCTGATCGCATTCCCCCATCAGCCTGACCGCCTCCAGCCGCTCTGACCGCCGCACCGCACCGCACCGCCCGCGCGTCCGCCGGGGAACCGCAGCTAGCTCCAGCGGCGTTAGCTCCTGCTGCTCCGAAGAGGCGCTAAAGTGGAAAACTGCATTTCGACAACTTTTGGACAGGTTTGTAGATCCCGCAGGAGGAGGCAGAGAAACGCGCTGTTCTTCTGTGTTACTGGATGCAAATCAAAGCTAACATTAGAGCGCGAGGAGCGAATGAAAACAAGGCGACAGAAGGTGAAGTTTGGCTAGCTAGTTAGGGTTAAATAATCAGGGCGCAAACAGCCCCAAACTCCGCCGTGCTGCTCCAGCAGCCTCTCTGCGGACTGATGGGGATTGAGGGCGGAATGAGGAGAGCAGCAGCCGCGCACTCACTCAGCCGTCTATTGTGTCCAAATTACTACAACATTGTGTTTTCGTGTTAGCTTCCGCGCTAGCCTCGTGCTTCGCAACAGAAGCTGAAAGCGCTTAGCAGTGAGCGGCTACCAGCAGCAGCTCTCCCTTCCTCCTCCAGCACCAGTCCCAGTAAAACAAGCTGGACATCGGTGGCTTTGGCTGGGTTCTACTGGGTCTGAGGACGGGCCGAACCGAGCCTCTAATGGAGCACCAAGCTAGCAGCTCGGGTAGCTAGGCTAGGCTATAATCCCCTAGCAGCGACTCCTCTGAATGAACCATAGCTTCCCCCATGGTGGAGGAGCAGGAGCTGCCTGGGGAGTTTAGGAGCTGCCGGGGGGAGCCGCTCTGCGCCCCGCCAGCCGCCCGGCTTCATCCCCCTAACCCTGACCCGTCCTGGGATGTGTTAGCATGCTAGCTGATGCTACACGGTAAGCTGCAGCCGCGCGCTGCACTGTCACAGCTGCGTGAGCCATCACTTAGTGATAAACATGAAACATTTCTATGAGCGCTGAGCTGCTGAACCCAGCGGCATCGGTAGGCCTCAGCTCTGCGGCTTTTTGCTCATTTCACTGCAGGAGCTGATCAGGAAGCATCGCTGCGAGGTTCGGTTCGGCTCAGCCACCATCTTTCAGGTGGAGGAATAACGGGCTAACCCTAACCATTGAACAGCTCAGATGCTGTGATGATAGTTGAGTTTCATCTTTACTGCGTCTTTTTTAACACTTGGAAAAAACAAAACGCGTCAGACCTGGGTCATAGCTGGAGTAGGAACGACTGTCTGCAGCTCAGCACTGTGACATGAACATGTTACACCATTATGGTACCAAGACAGTCAGAGAACTGTAACGCGTTGGACTGTGATGGTCGGAGAACTGTAACACTTTGGACTGTGATGGTCGGAGAACTGTAACAAGTTGGACTGTGATGGTCAGAGAACTGTAACACTTTGGACTGTGATGGTCAGAGAACTGTAACACTTTGGACTGTGATGGTTGGAGAACTGTAACACGTTGGACTGATGGTCAGAGAACTGTAACACTTTGGACTGTGATGGTCAGAGAACTGTAACACTTTGGACTGATGGTCAGAGAACTGTAACACTTTGGACTGTGATGGTCAGAGAACTGTAACACGTTGGACTGATGGTCAGAGAACTGTAACACTTTGGACTGTGATGGTCAGAGAACTGTAACACTTTGGACTGTGATGGTTGGAGAACTGTAACACGTTGGACTGTGATGGTCGGAGAACTGTAACACGTTGGACTGTGATGGTCGGAGAACTGTAACACGTTGGACTGTGATGGTTGGAGAACTGTAACACGTTGGACTGTGATGGTCAGAGAACTGTAACACTTTGGACTGATGGTTGGAGAACTGTAACACGTTGGACTGTGATGGTCGGAGAACTGTAACACGTTGGACTGTGATGGTTGGAGAACTGTAACACGTTGGACTGTGATGGTCGGAGAACTGTAACACTTTGGACTGATGGTTGGAGAACTGTAACACGTTGGACTGTGATGGTCGGAGAACTGTAACACGTTGGACTGTGATGGTCGGAGAACTGTAACACTTTGGACTGATGGTTGGAGAACTGTAACACGTTGGACTGTGATGGTCGGAGAACTGTAACACTTTGGACTGTGATGGTCAGAGAACTGTAACACGTTGGACTGTGATGGTTGGAGAACTGTAACACGTTGGACTGTGATGCTTGTAGAACTGTAACACGTTGAACTGTGATGGTTGTAGAATTGTAACACGTTGGACTGTGATGGTTGTAGAACTGTAACACGTTGGACTGTGATGGTCGTAGAACTGTAACACGTTGGACTGTGATGGTTGGAGAGCTGTAACACGTTGGACTGTGATGGTCGGAGAACTGTAACACTTTGGACTGATGGTTGGAGAACTGTAACACGTTGGACTGTGATGGTCGGAGAACTGTAACACTTTGGACTGTGATGGTCAGAGAACTGTAACACGTTGGACTGTGATGGTTGGAGAACTGTAACACAGACTGTGATGGTTGGAGAACTGTAACACGTTGAACTGTGATGGTTGTAGAACTGTAACACGTTGGACTGTGATGGTCGTAGAACTGTAACACTTTGGACTGTGATGCTTGTAGAACTGTAACACGTTGGACTGTGATGGTTGGAGAACTAACATGTTGGACTGTGATGCTTGTAGAACTGTAACACGTTGGACTGTGATGGTTGGAGAACTAACATGTTGGACTGTGATGCTTGTAGAACTGTAACACGTTGGACCCTGATGGTCAGAGAACTGTAACACGCTGGACTGTGATGGTTGGAGAACTGTAACACGTTGGACTGTGATGGTTGGAGAACTGTAACACGTTGGACTGTGATGGTTGGAGAACTGTAACACGTTGGACTGTGATGCTTGTAGAACTGTAACACGTTGGACTGTGATGCTTGTAGAACTGTAACATGTTGGACTGTGATGGTCATAGAACTGTAACACGTTGGACCCTGATGGTCAGAGAACTGTAACACGCTGGACTGTGATGGTTGTAGAACTGTAACACGTTGGACTGTGATGGTTGTAGAACTGTAACACGTTGGACTGTGATGGTTGGAGAACTGTAACACGTTGGACTGTGATGGTTGGAGAACTAACACGTTGGACTGTGATGGTTGTAGAACTGTAACACGTTGGACTGTGATGGTTGTAGAACTGTAACACGTTGGACTGTGATGGTTGTAGAACTGTAACACGTTGGACTGTGATGGTTGTAGAACTGTAACACGTTGGACTGTGATGGTCGGAGAACTGTAACACGTTGGACTGTGATGGTTGGAGAACTGTAACACGTTGGACTGTGATGGTCGGAGAACTGTAACACGTTGGACCGTGATGGTCGGAGAACTGTAACACGTTGGACTGTGATGGTTGTAGAACTGCAACATTTTGGACTGTGATGGTTGTAGAACTGCAACATTTTGGACTGTGATGGTTGGAGAACTGTAACACGTTGGACTGTGATGGTTGGAGAACTGTAACACGTTGGACTGTGATGCTTGTAGAACTGTAACACGTTGGACCCTGATGGTCAGAGAACTGTAACACGCTGGACTGTGATGGTTGGAGAACTGTAACACGTTGGACTGTGATGGTTGGAGAACTGTAACACGTTGGACTGTGATGGTTGGAGAACTAACACGTTGGACTGTGATGCTTGTAGAACTGTAACACGTTGGACTGTGATGCTTGTAGAACTGTAACATGTTGGACTGTGATGGTTGTAGAACTGTAACACGTTGGACCCTGATGGTCAGAGAACTGTAACACGCTGGACTGTGATGGTTGTAGAACTGTAACACGTTGGACTGTGATGGTTGGAGAACTGTAACACGTTGGACTGTGATGGTTGGAGAACTGTAACACGTTGGACTGTGATGGTTGGAGAACTGTAACACGTTGGACTGTGATGGTTGTAGAACTGTAACACGTTGGACTGTGATGGTTGTAGAACTGTAACACGTTGGACTGTGATGGTCGGAGAACTGTAACACGTTGGACTGTGATGGTTGGAGAACTGTAACACGTTGGACTGTGATGGTCGGAGAACTGTAACACGTTGGACTGTGATGGTTGGAGAACTGTAACACGTTGGACTGTGATGGTTGGAGAACTGTAACACGTTGGACCGTGATGGTCGGAGAACTGTAACACGTTGGACTGTGATGGTTGTAGAACTGCAACATTTTGGACTGTGATGGTTGGAGAACTGTAACACGTTGGACCCTGATGGTCAGAGAACTGTAACACGCTGGACTGTGATGGTTGTAGAACTGTAACACGTTGGACTGTGATGGTTGTAGAACTGCAACATTTTGGACTGTGATGGTCGTAGAACTGTAACACGTTGGACCCTGATGGTCAGAGAACTGTAACACGCTGGACTGTGATGGTTGTAGAACTGTAACACGTTGGACTGTGATGGTTGTAGAACTGCAACATTTTGGACTGTGATGGTCGTAGAACTGTAACACGTTGGACCCTGATGGTCAGAGAACTGTAACACGCTGGACTGTGATGGTTGTAGAACTGTAACACGTTGGACTGTGATGGTTGTAGAACTGTAACACGTTGGACTGTGATGGTTGGAGAACTGTAACACGTTGGACTGTGATGGTTGTAGAACTGTAACACGTTGGACTGTGATGGTTGTAGAACTGTAACACGTTGGACTGTGATGGTTGTAGAACTGCAACATTTTGGACTGTGATGGTTGTAGAACTGTAACACGTTGGACCGTGACGGTCGGAGAACTGTAACACAGTGGAAGAGTTTGGTTCCCATGGGTAGAGCGACTGAAGGTATGATGGTCTGCAGCTCTAACTGGCCTCTTTCTCTGACAGGTTCAGCACCAGGATCCACTTCTCCTGCAGGGACTCCAACATGGCAGGACGCAGTGAAGATGAAAGTGTCAGCAACAGCAACGGAGAGTCCAGGTGAGTTGGGGAGGATGCGGAGGATGAGGGGGGGCTTAGTTTGGTCTGTAGACTGTCTTTCATCTTCAGTCTGATCTGGTTCTCATCCTGTTTCACTTTAACTGATGAGGTGTTCCTGTAACGTTCCTAGAGCTTCTTCAAAGTGTTTTTAGATTGATCCTAAAATAACTGCTTTATTAATCAGTCGGTAAGATGAATGATAGATTGATCCTCTATTAATCAGTCGGTAAGATGAATGATAGATTGATCCTCTATTAATCAGTCGGTAAGATGAAAGATAGATTGATCCTCTATTAATCAGTCGGTAAGATGAATGATAGATTGATCCTCTATTAATCAGTCGGTAAGATGAAAGATAGATTGATCCTCTATTAATCAGTCGGTAAGATGAATGATAGATTGATCCTCTATTAATCAGTCGGTAAGATGAATGATAGATTGATCCTCTATTAATCAGTCGGTAAGATGAATGATAGATTGATCCTCTATTAATCAGTCGGTAAGATGAAAGATAGATTGATCCTCTATTAATCAGTCGGTAAGATGAAAGATAGATTGATCCTCTATTAATCAGTCGGTAAGATGAAAGATAGATTGATCCTCTATTAATCAGTCGGTAAGATGAATGATAGATTGATCCTCTATTAATCAGTCGGTAAGATGAATGATAGATTGATCCTCTATTAATCAGTCGGTAAGATGAATGATAGATTGATCCTCTATTAATCAGTCGGTAAGATGAATGATAGATTGATCCTCTATTAATCAGTCGGTAAGATGAATGATAGATTGATCCTTTATTAATCAGTCGGTAAGATGAATGCCTGTTTGACTGGAATCGCACCGTTTCCTCCTCATTGTTCAGTGACTCTCTCTGGTTTGTGTTTTTCTATCGCAGTAATTCTGATGAGGAGTCCGGTTCTGGATCTGGTTCTGGTTCTGGTTCAGACTCCGGCTCCAGTTCCAGCTCCTCCAGCAGCAGCAGCCAATCGGAGAGCAGCGACTCAGGAAGCGGCTCTGACTCTGGGAGTCAGTCCGAGTCAGAGACGGAGAAATCCACTGAGAAGACGGAGGCCCCCAGGAAGCCGAACATTGACGGGGCCGAGGTGAACAAGCTGTTTCTCTGCTACCGTCTCCCCTTCTTTGATTGCTGCAACAGTCAGAAAGACACCAAGCAGAGTCCACATTACGGTTTCTGGCCCAACGGCAGACTGGGTTCGGGTCCGACGGCCGACTGGTTTCGAGTCCAATGACTGACTGGTTTTGGGTTTGGTGACTGGTTTCGAGTCCGGTGAATCACTGGTTTCGAGTCCGGTGAATCACTGGTTTCGAGTCCGGTGACTCACTGGTTTTGAGTTCGATGACTGACTGGTTTTGGCTCAGCTGACTGGTTTTGGGCCCAGTGACTATTTGGGTCCGGCGACTGACTGGTTTTGGGTCAGCTGACTGGTTTTGGGTTAGGTGACTGACTGGTTTCCGGTCAGGTGACTGACTGATTTTTGGTCCAGTGCCTGATTTTGGGTCTGATGGCTGCCTGGTTTCGGATCGATGGCAAACTGGTTTTGGGCCGGCTGACTGGTTTTTGGTCAGGTGACTGGTTTTGGGTACTTTGACTGACTGGTTTTGGGTTAGGTGACTGGTTTTTGGTTAGGTGACTGGCTGGTTTTGGGTATAGTGACTGGCTGGTATGTGATCGGCTGGTTTTGGGTCCAGTGACCGACTGGTTTTGGGTCTGGTGACTGCCTGGTTTCAGGTCCGATGGCTGCCTGATTGCGGGTCCGATAACTGACTGGTTTCGGGTCCGGTGACTGACTGTTTTGGGTCAGGTGACTGGTTTTGGGTCCGATGAGTGGCTGGTTTCAGGTCTGATGACTTCCTTGTTTCAGGTCCAATGACTGACTGGTTTAGGGTTCGATCACGGACTGGTTAAGGGTCAGCTGACTGGTTTTGGGTCAGGTGACTGACTGGTTTTGGGTCAGGTGACTGACTGATTTTTGGTCCAGTGCCTGGTTTCGGGTCCGATGGCTAACTGGTTTTGGGCCGGCTGACTAGTTTTTGGTCAGGTGACTGGTTTTGGGTGCTTTGACTGACTGGTTTTGGGTTAGGTGAATGGCTGGTTTTGGGTCCAGTGACTGACTGGTTTTGGGTCCGGTGACTGACTGGTTTTGGGTCAGCCGACTGGTTCTGGGTGCTTTGACTGCCTGATTTCGGGTCCGGTGACTGACTGGTTTCGGGTCTGGTGACTGACTGGTTTCAGGTCCGATGGCTGGCTGATTGCGGGTCCGATAACTGACTGGTTTCGGGTCCGGTGACTGACTGGTTTTGGGTCAGCTGACTGGTTTTGGGTCCGATGAGTGGTTGGTTTCAGGTCTGATGACTGCCTTGTTTCGGGTCCGATGACTGACTGGTTTAGGGTTTGATCACGGACTGGTTTTAGGTCCTATGGCTTACTTGTTTTGGGTCAGGTGACTGACTGGTTTTGGGTGCGATGACTGCCTGGTTTCGGGTGCGATAACGGACTGGTTTCGGGTCCGATCACGGACTGGTTTCGCGTCCGGTGACTGACTGGTTTCGGGTCTGATGACTGACTGGTTTTGGGTCCAATGGCTGAGTGGTTTCTGGTGCTTTGACTGACTGGTTTTGCATCGTTGCAGTTCTGGAAGTCCAACCCCAGCATCCTGGCGGTGCAGAGATCAGCGATGCTCAGGAAGCAGCAGCAGCAGCAGCAGCAGAGACGAGGCTCCTCCCACAGCGGGTCAGACGAGGTCAGTGCTCCTTCAGGATCCTTGGTGGAACCCGGTTGGTCCGTTCATCTAAGGCGGGGGATCCCAGCCCGGCCCCCCAGGGACCCCGTCCTTAAAAGAACAGATAATCAACAATTAATCAGATAAATCGTTAAATCATGTAGTAATGGATCAATGGTTCCCCGGATAGAGACTCTCAAACACCTTTAGCTGATCCCACCTAGAGCAGGAAGTATAAAAATAGATCAGCGTCATTAATCAGTCAGTCTGCTCTATGCAGAGGAACAGTTTTACTTTATAAAAAAATTATCTTTAGGAATACTGCTTCACCTGCTGCTCCTCTGCTGCCTGCAGGTGGAGCAGCAGGTGGAGCTGCTCCACCTGCTGCTCCACCTGCTGCTCCTCTGCTGCCTGCAGGTGGAGCAGCAGGTGGAGCTGTTCCACCTGCTGCTCCTCTGCTGTCAGCAGGTGGAGCTGCTCCACCTGCTGCTCCACCTGCTGCTCCTCTGCAGTCCACAGGTGGAGCAGCAGGTGGAGCAGCAGGTGGAGGAGCAGATGGAGCTGCTCCACCTGCTGTTCCACCTGCTGCTACTCTGCTGTCTGAAGGTGGAGCAGCAGGTGGAGCTGCTCCACCTACCGGCAGAGGATCAAATGGTCTCCTTCCAGGGCATTAAGCCTGGCTTTAAACCAGGATATAGGGGAATAACTGCTGCTGCAGTCCTCAAACTAAAGCCAGGCTGATTTGAACCTGTGTTGCTAAAAAGCATCAAAACACAAATGCCTCATGTGGTCACGGTTGCTTGGCAACCAAAGTGACAGTGAGGCAATGGCAGGGCTGGTGCTGAAGGCTGGACCGTCCACAGCTGATCACTTCCAGCCGTCGCTGTTTTTCAGGCCTTTGTGAAGCGGTTTGGGACGGGTCGGCCTGGTAAATGACCCGTCCTGCCCTCTGATCCAAAGCGGCTCTACTGCGACATCAGCCGTCTGCCGTTTGAGATTTGGGTCAGAGGTGGATCCAGATGGTAGTGTTGCAGGCGGCCCAGGTTCAGGGTTCTGACATCATTCTCCTGCTTCGTTAGTCCAGCGGCTTGTTGACCCGGTAACAGCATGACGCTGTGGCCTTTTGTTTTCCAGGACTCTTCCAGTAGTGATGAATCGGACACCTCGAGCGGATCCAAGAAGAGAGGGAATTCTGGCTCGTCCAACTCTGGATCGGGTTCTGGGAGTGATTCCGGCTCAGACTCTTCAGCAGAAGAAAACAGCAATGAAACTGCATCTGACTATGAGCCGAGTCTGAAATTTAAGAGCAGAAAACCTCCGACCAAGTAAGTGGGTGGAGTCAGTGGGATCATCCTGTCATTTTAGTTATTAATCTGTAGTTATTTCCATCTTTAACAGCACTTAGCACTGTATTAATATTATTATTATTAGCATTCTAATGTTTTCAAATACCATTTATCATAACCATTTACATGGCTTAGAACCTCCTCCTTCCTTTATGGCCAAACGCTCTGCCTCAAAGGTCCGACCTGAAACCGTTCCAGCTGTAGTTTAAACGCTCTGCCTCAAAGGTCCGACCTGAAACGGTTCCAGCTGTAGTTTAAACGCTCTGCCTCAAAGGTCCGACCTGAAACCGTTCCAGCTGTAGTTTAAACGCGATGCCTCAAAGGTCCGACCTGAAACGGTTCCAGCTGTAGTTTAAACGCGCTCTGCCTCAAAGGTCCGACCTGAAACCGTTCCAGCTGTAGTTTAAACGCTCTGCCTCAAAGGTCCGACCTGAAACCCTTCCAGCTGTAGTTTAAACGCTCTGCCTCAAAGGTCTGACCTGAAACCGTTCCAGCTGTAGTTTAAACGCTCTGCCTCAAAGGTCCGACCTGAAACCCTTCCAGCTGTAGTTTAAACGCTCCGCCTCAAAGGTCCGACCTGAAACCGTTCCAGCTGTAGTTTAAACGCTCCGCCTCAAAGGTCCGACCTGAAACCGTTCCAGCTGTAGTTTAAACGCTCTGCCTCAAAGGTCTGACCTGAAACCGTTCCAGCTGTAGTTTAAACGCTCTGCCTCAAAGGTCCGACCTGAAACCGTTCCAGCTGTAGTTTAAACGCTCCGCCTCAAAGGTCCGACGTGAAACCGTTCCAGCTGTAGTTTAAACGCTCTGCCTCAAAGGTCTGACCTGAAACCGTTCCAGCTGTAGTTTAAACACTCTGCCTCAAAGGTCTGACCTGAAACCGTTCCAGCTGTAGTTTAAACGCTCTGCCTCAAAGGTTCGACCTGAAACCGTTCCAGCTGTAGTTTAAACGCACTGCCTCAAAGGTCCGACCTGAAATGTTCCAGCTGTAGTTTAAACGCGCTCTGCCTCAAAGGTCCGACCTGAAACCGTTCCAGCTGTAGTTTAAACGCGCTCCGCCTCAAAGGTCCGACCTGAAACCGTTCCAGCTGTAGTTTAAACGCTCTGCCTCAAAGATCCGACCTGAAACCGTTCCAGCTGTAGTTTAAACGCTCTGCCTCAAAGGTCCGACCTGAAACCGTTCCAGCTGTAGTTTAAACGCTCTGCCTCAAAGGTCCGACCTGAAACTGTTCCAGCTGTAGTTTAAACGCTCTGCCTCAAAGATCCGACCTGAAACCGTTCCAGCTGTAGTTTAAACGCTCTGCCTCAAAGGTCCGACCTGAAACCGTTCCAGCTGTAGTTTAAACGCACTGCCTCAAAGGTCCGACCTGAAACCGTTCCAGCTGTAGTTTAAACGCTCTGCCTCACAGGTCCGACCTGAAACCGTTCCAGCTGTAGTTTAAACGCGCTCCGCCTCAAAGGTCCGACCTGAAACCGTTCCAGTTGTAGTTTAAACGCTCTGCCTCAAAGGTCCGACCTGAAACCGTTCCAGCTGTAGTTTAAACGCTCTGCCTCAAAGGTCCGACCTGAAACCGTTCCAGCTGTAGTTTAAACGCTCCGCCTCAAAGGTCCGACCTGAAACCGTTCCAGCTGTAGTATAAACGCTCCGCCTCAAAGGTCCGACCTGAAACGTTCCAGCTGTAATTTAAACGCGATGCCTCAAAGGTCCGACCTGAAACCGTTCCAGCTGTAGTTTAAACGCTCCGCCTCAAAGGTCCGACCTGAAACCGTCCCAGCTGTAGTTTAAACGCTCTGCCTCAAAGGTCCGACCTGAAACCGTTCCAGCTGTAGTTTAAACGCTCTGCCTCAAAGGTCCGACCTGAAACCGTTCCAGCTGTAGTTTAAACGCTCTGCCTCAAAGGTCCGACCTGAAACCGTTCCAGCTGTAGTTTAAACGCTCTGCCTCAAAGGTCCGACCTGAAACCGTTCCAGCTGTAGTATAAACGCTCCGCCTCAAAGGTCCGACCTGAAACGTTCCAGCTGTAATTTAAACGCGATGCCTCAAAGGTCCGACCTGAAACCGTTCCAGCTGTAGTTTAAACGCTCTGCCTCAAAGGTCCGACCTGAAACCGTTCCAGCTGTAGTTTAAACGCTCTGCCTCAAAGGTCCGACCTGAAACCGTTCCAGCTGTAGTTTAAACGCTCTGCCTCAAAGGTCCGACCTGAAACCGTTCCAGCAGTAGTTTAAACGCTCTGCCTCAAAGGTCCGACCTGAAACCGTTCCAGCTGTAGTTTAAACGCTCTGCCTCAAAGGTCTGACCTGAAACTGTTCCAGTTGTAGTTTAAACGCGCTCTGCCTCAAAGGTCTGACCTGAAACCGTTCCAGTTGTAGTTTAAACGCGCTCTGCCTCAAAGGTCCGACCTGAAACCGTTCCAGCTGTAGTTTAAACGCTCTGCCTTAAAGGTCCGACCTGAAACCGTTCCAGCTGTAGTTTAAACGCTCTGCCTCAAAGGTCCGACCTGAAACCGTTCCAGCTGTAGTTTAAACGCTCTGCCTCAAAGGTCCGACCTGAAACCGTTCCAGCTGTAGTTTAAACGCTCTGCCTCAAAGGTCCGACCTGAAACCGTTCCAGCTGTAGTTTAAACGCTCCGCCTCAAAGGTCCGACCTGAAACCGTTCCAGCTGTAGTTTAAACGCTCTGCCTCAAAGGTCCGACCTGAAACCGTTCCAGCTGTAGTTTAAACGCTCTGCCTCAAAGGTCCGACCTGAAACCGTTCCAGCTGTAGTTTAAACGCTCTGCCTCAAAGGTCCGACCTGAAACCGTTCCAGCTGTAGTTTAAACGCTCCGCCTCAAAGGTCCGACCTGAAACCGTTCCAGCTGTAGTTTAAACGCTCTGCCTCAAAGGTCCGACCTGAAACCGTTCCAGCTGTAGTTTAAACGCTCTGCCTCAAAGGTCCGACCTGAAACCGTTCCAGCTGTAGTTTAAACGCTCTGCCTCAAAGGTCCGACCTGAAACCGTTCCAGCTGTAGTTTAAACGCTCTGTCTCAAAGGTCTGACCTGAAACCGTTCCAGCTGTAGTTTAAACGCTCTGCCTCAAAGGTTCGACCTGAAACCGTTCCAGCTGTAGTTTAAACGCACTGCCTCAAAGGTCCGACCTGAAACCGTTCCAGCTGTAGTTTAAACGCTCCGCCTCAAAGGTCCGACGTGAAACCGTCCCAGCTGTAGTTTAAACGCTCCGCCTCAAAGGTCCGACCTGAAACCGTCCCAGCTGTAGTTTAAACGCTCTGCCTCAAAGGTCCGACCTGAAACCGTTCCAGCTGTAGTTTAAACGCTCTGCCTCAAAGGTCCGACCTGAAACCGTTCCAGCTGTAGTTTAAACGCTCTGCCTCAAAGGTCTGACCTGAAACTGTTCCAGTTGTAGTTTAAACGCGCTCTGCCTCAAAGGTCTGACCTGAAACCGTTCCAGTTGTAGTTTAAACGCGCTCTGCCTCAAAGGTCCGACCTGAAACCGTTCCAGCTGTAGTTTAAACGCTCTGCCTTAAAGGTCCGACCTGAAACCGTTCCAGCTGTAGTTTAAACGCTCTGCCTCAAAGGTCCGACCTGAAACCGTTCCAGCTGTAGTTTAAACGCTCTGCCTCAAAGGTCCGACCTGAAACCGTTCCAGCTGTAGTTTAAACGCTCTGCCTCAAAGGTCCGACCTGAAACCGTTCCAGCTGTAGTTTAAACGCTCTGCCTCAAAGGTCCGACCTGAAACCGTTCCAGCTGTAGTTTAAACGCTCCGCCTCAAAGGTCCGACCTGAAACCGTTCCAGCTGTAGTTTAAACGCGCTCCGCCTCAAAGGTCCGACCTGAAACCGTTCCAGCTGTAGTTTAAACGCTCTGCCTCAAAGATCCGACCTGAAACCGTTCCAGCTGTAGTTTAAACGCTCTGCCTCAAAGGTCCGACCTGAAACCGTTCCAGCTGTAGTTTAAACGCTCTGCCTCAAAGATCCGACCTGAAACCGTTCCAGCTGTAGTTTAAACGCTCTGCCTCAAAGATCCGACCTGAAACCGTTCCAGCTGTAGTTTAAACGCTCTGCCTCAAAGGTCCGACCTGAAACCGTTCCAGCTGTAGTTTAAACGCACTGCCTCAAAGGTCCGACCTGAAACCGTTCCAGCTGTGGTTTAAACGCTCTGCCTCAAAGGTCCGACCTGAAACCGTTCCAGCTGTAGTTTAAACGCTCTGCCTCAAAGGTCCGACCTGAAACCGTTCCAGCTGTAGTTTAAACGCTCTGCCTCAAAGGTCCGACCTGAAACCGTTCCAGCTGTAGTTTAAACGCTCCGCCTCAAAGGTCCGACCTGAAACCGTTCCAGCTGTAGTATAAACGCTCCGCCTCAAAGGTCCGACCTGAAACGTTCCAGCTGTAATTTAAACGCGATGCCTCAAAGGTCCGACCTGAAACCGTTCCAGCTGTAGTTTAAACGCTCTGCCTCAAAGGTCCGACCTGAAACCGTTCCAGCTGTAGTTTAAACGCTCTGCCTCAAAGGTCCGACCTGAAACCGTTCCAGCTGTAGTTTAAACGCTCTGCCTCAAAGGTCCGACCTGAAACCGTTCTAGCAGTAGTTTAAACGCTCTGCCTCAAAGGTCCGACCTGAAACCGTTCCAGCTGTAGTTTAAACGCTCTGCCTCAAAGGTCTGACCTGAAACTGTTCCAGTTGTAGTTTAAACGCGCTCTGCCTCAAAGGTCTGACCTGAAACCGTTCCAGTTGTAGTTTAAACGCGCTCTGCCTCAAAGGTCCGACCTGAAACCGTTCCAGCTGTAGTTTAAACGCTCTGCCTTAAAGGTCCGACCTGAAACCGTTCCAGCTGTAGTTTAAACGCTCTGCCTCAAAGGTCCGACCTGAAACCGTTCCAGCTGTAGTTTAAACGCTCTGCCTCAAAGGTCCGACCTGAAACCTTTCCAGCTGTAGTTTAAACGCTCTGCCTCAAAGGTCCGACCTGAAACCGTTCCAGCTGTAGTTTAAACGCTCCGCCTCAAAGGTCCGACCTGAAACCGTTCCAGCTGTAGTTTAAACGCTCTGCCTCAAAGGTCCGACCTGAAACCGTTCCAGCTGTAGTTTAAACGCTCTGCCTCAAAGGTCCGACCTGAAACCGTTCCAGCTGTAGTTTAAACGCTCTGCCTCAAAGGTCCGACCTGAAACCGTTCCAGCTGTAGTTTAAACGCTCCGCCTCAAAGGTCCGACCTGAAACCGTTCCAGCTGTAGTTTAAACGCTCTGCCTCAAAGGTCCGACCTGAAACCGTTCCAGCTGTAGTTTAAACGCTCTGCCTCAAAGGTCCGACCTGAAACCGTTCCAGCTGTAGTTTAAACGCTCTGCCTCAAAGGTCCGACCTGAAACCGTTCCAGCTGTAGTTTAAACGCTCTGTCTCAAAGGTCTGACCTGAAACCGTTCCAGCTGTAGTTTAAACGCTCTGCCTCAAAGGTTCGACCTGAAACCGTTCCAGCTGTAGTTTAAACGCACTGCCTCAAAGGTCCGACCTGAAACCGTTCCAGCTGTAGTTTAAACGCTCCGCCTCAAAGGTCCGACGTGAAACCGTCCCAGCTGTAGTTTAAACGCTCCGCCTCAAAGGTCCGACCTGAAACCGTCCCAGCTGTAGTTTAAACGCTCTGCCTCAAAGGTCCGACCTGAAACCGTTCCAGCTGTAGTTTAAACGCTCTGCCTCAAAGGTCCGACCTGAAACCGTTCCAGCTGTAGTTTAAACGCTCTGCCTCAAAGGTCTGACCTGAAACCGTTCCAGCTGTAGTTTAAACGCTCTGCCTCAAAGGTCTGACCTGAAACCGTTCCAGCTGTAGTTTAAACGCTCTGCCTCAAAGGTTCGACCTGAAACCGTTCCAGCTGTAGTTTAAACGCACTGCCTCAAAGGTCCGACCTGAAATGTTCCAGCTGTAGTTTAAACGCGCTCTGCCTCAAAGGTCCGACCTGAAACCGTTCCAGCTGTAGTTTAAACGCGCTCCGCCTCAAAGGTCCGACCTGAAACCGTTCCAGCTGTAGTTTAAACGCTCTGCCTCAAAGGTCCGACCTGAAACCGTTCCAGTTGTAGTTTAAACGCGCTCTGCCTCAAAGGTCCGACCTGAAACCGTTCCAGCTGTAGTTTAAACGCTCTGCCTCAAAGGTCCGACCTGAAACCGTTCCAGCTGTAGTTTAAACGCTCTGCCTCAAAGGTCCACCCTGAAACCGTTCCAGCTGTAGTTTAAACGCTCTGCCTCAAAGGTCCGGCCTGAAACCGTTCCAGCTGTAGTTTAAACGCTCTGCCTCAAAGGTCCGACCTGAAACCGTTCCAGCTGTAGTTTAAACGCTCTGCCTCAAAGGTTCGACCTGAAACCGTTCCAGCTGTAGTTTAAACGCTCTGCCTCAAAGGTCCGACCTGAAACCGTCCCAGCTGTAGTTTAAACGCTCTGCCTCAAAGGTCCACCCTGAAACCGTTCCAGCTGTAGTTTAAACGCGCTCTGCCTCAAAGGTCCGACCTGAAACCGTTCCAGCTGTAGTTTAAACGCTCTGCCTCAAAGGTCTGACCTGAAACTGTTCCAGCTGTAGTTTAAACGCTCTGCCTCAAAGGTCTGACCTGAAACCGTTCCAGCTGTAGTTTAAACGCTCCGCCTCAAAGGTCCGACCTGAAACCGTTCCAGCTGTAGTTTAAACGCTCTGCCTCAAAGGTCTGACCTGAAACTGTTCCAGCTGTAGTTTAAACGCTCTGCCTCAAAGGTCTGACCTGAAACCGTTCCAGCTGTAGTTTAAACGCTCCGCCTCAAAGGTCCGACCTGAAACCGTTCCAGCTGTAGTTTAAACGCTCTGCCTCAAAGGTCCGACCTGAAACCGTTCCAGCTGTAGTTTAAACGCTCCGCCTCAAAGGTCCGACCTGAAACCGTTCCAGCTGTAGTTTAAACGCTCTGCCTCAAAGGTCCGACCTGAAACCGTTCCAGCTGTAGTTTAAACGCTCTGCCTCAAAGGTCCGACCTGAAACCGTTCCAGCTGTAGTTTAAACGCTCTGCCTCAAAGGTCCGACCTGAAACCGTTCCAGCTGTAGTTTAAACGCTCCGCCTCAAAGGTCCGACCTGAAACCGTTCCAGCTGTAGTTTAAACGCTCTGCCTCAAAGGTCCGACCTGAAACCGTTCCAGCTGTAGTTTAAACGCTCTGCCTCAAAGGTCCGACCTGAAACCGTTCCAGCTGTAGTTTAAACGCTCTGCCTCAAAGGTCCGACCTGAAACCGTTCCAGCTGTAGTTTAAACGCTCTGTCTCAAAGGTCTGACCTGAAACCGTTCCAGCTGTAGTTTAAACGCTCTGCCTCAAAGGTTCGACCTGAAACCGTTCCAGCTGTAGTTTAAACGCACTGCCTCAAAGGTCCGACCTGAAACCGTTCCAGCTGTAGTTTAAACGCTCCGCCTCAAAGGTCCGACGTGAAACCGTCCCAGCTGTAGTTTAAACGCTCCGCCTCAAAGGTCCGACCTGAAACCGTCCCAGCTGTAGTTTAAACGCTCTGCCTCAAAGGTCCGACCTGAAACCGTTCCAGCTGTAGTTTAAACGCTCTGCCTCAAAGGTCCGACCTGAAACCGTTCCAGCTGTAGTTTAAACGCTCTGCCTCAAAGGTCTGACCTGAAACCGTTCCAGCTGTAGTTTAAACGCTCTGCCTCAAAGGTCTGACCTGAAACCGTTCCAGCTGTAGTTTAAACGCTCTGCCTCAAAGGTTCGACCTGAAACCGTTCCAGCTGTAGTTTAAACGCACTGCCTCAAAGGTCCGACCTGAAATGTTCCAGCTGTAGTTTAAACGCGCTCTGCCTCAAAGGTCCGACCTGAAACCGTTCCAGCTGTAGTTTAAACGCGCTCCGCCTCAAAGGTCCGACCTGAAACCGTTCCAGCTGTAGTTTAAACGCTCTGCCTCAAAGGTCCGACCTGAAACCGTTCCAGTTGTAGTTTAAACGCGCTCTGCCTCAAAGGTCCGACCTGAAACCGTTCCAGCTGTAGTTTAAACGCTCTGCCTCAAAGGTCCGACCTGAAACCGTTCCAGCTGTAGTTTAAACGCTCTGCCTCAAAGGTCCACCCTGAAACCGTTCCAGCTGTAGTTTAAACGCTCTGCCTCAAAGGTCCGGCCTGAAACCGTTCCAGCTGTAGTTTAAACGCTCTGCCTCAAAGGTCCGACCTGAAACCGTTCCAGCTGTAGTTTAAACGCTCTGCCTCAAAGGTTCGACCTGAAACCGTTCCAGCTGTAGTTTAAACGCTCTGCCTCAAAGGTCCGACCTGAAACCGTCCCAGCTGTAGTTTAAACGCTCTGCCTCAAAGGTCCACCCTGAAACCGTTCCAGCTGTAGTTTAAACGCGCTCTGCCTCAAAGGTCCGACCTGAAACCGTTCCAGCTGTAGTTTAAACGCTCTGCCTCAAAGGTCTGACCTGAAACTGTTCCAGCTGTAGTTTAAACGCTCTGCCTCAAAGGTCTGACCTGAAACCGTTCCAGCTGTAGTTTAAACGCTCCGCCTCAAAGGTCCGACCTGAAACCGTTCCAGCTGTAGTTTAAACGCTCTGCCTCAAAGGTCCGACCTGAAACCGTTCCAGCTGTAGTTTAAACGCTCTGCCTCAAAGGTCCGACCTGAAACCGTTCCAGCTGTAGTTTAAACGCTCTGCCTCAAAGGTCCGACCTGAAACCGTTCCAGCTGTTGTTTAAACGCTCTGCCTCAAAGGTCCGACCTGAAACCGTTCCAGCTGTAGTTTAAACGCTCTGCCTCAAAGGTCCGACCTGAAACCGTTCCAGCTGTAGTTTAAACGCTCTGCCTCAAAGGTCCGACCTGAAACCGTTCCAGCTGTAGTTTAAACGCTCTGCCTCAAAGGTCCGACCTGAAACCGTTCCAGCTGTAGTTTAAACGCTCTGCCTCAAAGGTCCGACCTGAAACCGTTCCAGCTGTAGTTTAAACGCTCCGCCTCAAAGGTCCGACCTGAAACCGTTCCAGCTGTAGTTTAAACGCTCCGCCTCAAAGGTCCGACCTGAAACCGTTCCAGCTGTAGTTTAAACGCTCTGCCTCAAAGGTCCGACCTGAAACCGTTCCAGCTGTAGTTTAAACGCTCTGCCTCAAAGGTCCGACCTGAAACCGTTCCAGCTGTAGTTTAAACGCTCTGCCTCAAAGGTCCGACCTGAAACCGTTCCAGCTGTAGTTTAAACGCTCCGCCTCAAAGGTCCGACCTGAAACCGTTCCAGGTGTAGTTTAAACGCTCTGCCTCAAAGGTCCGACCTAAAACCGTTCCAGCTGTAGTTTAAACGCTCTGCCTCAAAGGTCCGACCTGAAACCGTTCCTGTTTCTCTCTGGTTTTAGGATGAACTCCAGAAATGGAACGAAGAGCATGGGTCAGAGGAAGAAATCCCAGAAATGTTCCTCCTCTGAGGATGAAAATAACTTTTCCAAAGTGGCGAGCGGCGGGCCGCGGCGGCAGGCCACGGTCAACGTCAGCTACAAGGAGGCTGATGAGATGAACACAGACTCTGATGATCTGGTGGAGGTGCTGGGTGAAGATGTTCCTTTGCCTGAGGAGGAGGAGTTTGAAACCATTGAGAGAGTGATGGAAAGCAGGCTGGGAAGAAAACGAGGTAAGAACGCCGCCCACCTCGCTGCCATGGTGATGGGTAGATCTGATGCCGCTTCTGCTTCCTCTCCAGCTACAGGCAGTGCTACCACCGTGTACGCCGTAGAGGCCGACGGAGACCCCAACGCCAACTTTGATCCCAGCAAGGAGGCCGGCGAGGTCCAGTATCTGATCAAGTGGAAGAACTGGGCGCACATCCACAACACCTGGGAGACTGAAGAAACACTAAAGCTCCAGAATGTGAGGGGCATGAAGAAGCTGGAGAACTTCAAGAAGAAGGAGCAGGAGAAGAGGAAATGGTGAGATTCAGACTGCTGGCCTGGTCTCCTCTGGCTCAGCCGCCTCACGGAGCGTCGATCAGCTCAACCAGGCGCATAGCTCAGCCTATCATCCTCCTCCTCCTGGAGGTGGAGCCTCCAGGCTGGACGCCATAGCCCCATTTCCACTACCCTTTAGAAACCGTGCCGAGATTGGTCTGAGCACGGTAACCAAGGTAACGGAGTGTGCATGCCACGCAGAACTGAACCGGACTGTGCCAGACACAACCGAAAGCCGTGGCAACAGTGGCGTCGGGTGTAGGAGTTTGACCTGAAATCGAAAGGGTTGACGGCGCCGTCTTTCAGTGTCGTTGTGTCCTTGGGCAAGACACTTCACCTGCGTTGCCTCCTAATGGTGGTCAGTAGGTGGCGCCAGCGTATGGCAGCATCACTTCTCGACCGCCTCGTCTCCTTACAGCCAGCCTCCGTAATCATTCCTAAAATCCTAGCTTCCTACCGCGCCGCACGATTTCCAGGGATGATTCTGCTTAGCAGTGCGACGAACCTCAACATCTGTCGTTGTTCCCTGCGTCTGGAAGCCCCGATTAGACTATCGTTTGTCGTATCCACATCCCAAAAACCGAATCTGTCAAAGAAATTCACCAAAGGCTGCCTTCTTCCCCTGACTCTCCGCTAACTTCCTGAATGTTACAGGCGCCGCCATGTTGGTTTGCTTGTTTCCCTCTAGAGAGCTGTAGTACCGTAGATGGCCACTAGGCAGTGAGGACCCGTGCTAGCGTGGCGTGTTAAGGCCCATAAGGAACCGACCTCGGCACGGATCGGTTCCAGAGGGTGGTGGAAATGTGGCTCATGTCTGCCTCTCAGTGGTTCACAGCTTTAATCTGAGGCTGCAGACCAGTCAGGCAGATGATTGGGTTGGACAAAACCAGAAGCATCCACCATCTTTGAATCCAAACAGTTGTTTACAGGAGGAAGTGAACGGTTTGACCCGTGATCAGCGTTCGACAGAAACATCTCAGCGTCTTTATTTCAGATGAATCCTCAAAGCTTTGAACCGTTTCCTGTCTTCTTCAGGTTAAAGGCAGCATCGCCAGAAGACAGAGAATATTTCAACTGTCAGGAGGAGCTGATGGACGACCTGCACTCTCAGTACCGGCTGGTGGAGCGGATCCTAGGTAGGCCTGGATGGCTGCTGCTGCTGCTGCTGCTTTCTTGCTGTCATCCACTCAATCACTGTCTGCATGGCTCTGAGCAGGACACTCCAACCAGAAGTCAGCTGCCGGTTACCCAGACTACCTCTGCAAGTGGCAGGGCTTACCGTACTCTGAGTGCAGCTGGGAGGACGGCGCCCTGATCGCCAAAAAGTTCCAGAAATGCATCGACGACTACATGAGCAGGAACCAGTCCAAGACCATCCCCTCCAGAGACTTCAAGGTCAGTCAGTCGTCTACCTTTAATGGGAGCCATTATGTTCTGTGTGACAGATTAGCCCATTAATCCATAATCTCTGTTTAGAGGGGATTTCTCTGTGTAGTAATGTTACCACTAGAGGGCAGCATTGTTTATTCTGAAACAGCTCTCAGTGGGAACGTCTGCTTCATCCAGGAGGCAAGCAGACACACACGGCCCCTCCATGGGCTCCTGGTTCTCCTCCTGGTCCGCATCCCTGGACCCCCTCAGAGGGAGGCATCTGATCATTATAGATCTACATGGCTGATTTCAGAGGGACAGACCCCATCTATTAAGGATAGATCTATATCTCTGGTCTTAGATAGAAACAGACCCCGTCTATTAAGGATAGATCTACATCTCTGGTCTCACAGTAACGGACCACATCTATTAATGATAAATCTATATCTCTGGTCTTAGATAGAAACAGACCCCGTCTATTAAGGATAGATCTACATCTCTGGTCTCACAGTAACGGACCACATCTATTAATGATAAATCTATATCTCTGGTCTCACAGGAACAGACAGCTTCTATAAAAGACAGACTACGAGTAAGACTATGTCGCTGATGAGCAACAGACCGTGTCTATTAGTGATACATCTATTCTATAGATCAGCGTGTTAATGTGGATAACTTCTATAGATCGGCGTGTTAATGTGGATAACTTCTATAGATCGGCGTGTTAATGTGGATAACTTCTATAGATCGGCGTGTTAATGTGGATAACTTCTATAGATCAGCGTGTTAATGTGGATAACTTCTATAGATCAGCGTGTTAATGTGGATAACTTCTATAGATCAGCGTGTTAATGTGGATAACTTCTATAGATCAGCGTGTTAATGTGGATAACTTCTATAGATCAGCGTGTTAATGTGGATAACTTCTATAGATCAGCGTGTTAATGTGGATAACTTCTATAGATCAGCGTGTTAATGTGGATAACTTCTATAGATCAGCGTGTTAATGTGGATAACTTCTATAGATCAGCGTGTTAATGTGGATAACTTCTATAGATCAGCGTGTTAATGTGGATAACTTCTATAGATCAGCGTGTTAATGTGGATAACTTCTATAGATCTGCGTGTTAATGTGGATAACTTCTATAGATCAGCGTGTTAATGTGGATAACTTCTATAGATCAGCGTGTTAATGTGGATAACTTCTATAGATCTGCGTGTTAATGTGGATAAGTTCTATAGATCGGCGTGTTAATGTGGATAACTTCTATAGATCGGCGTGTTAATGTGGATAACTTCTATAGATCGGCGTGTTAATGTGGATAACTTCTATAGATCGGCGTGTTAATGTGGATAACTTCTATAGATCAGCGTGTTAATGTGGATAACTTCTATAGATCAGCGTGTTAATGTGGATAACTTCTATAGATCAGCGTGTTAATGTGGATAACTTCTATAGATCAGCGTGTTAATGTGGATAACTTCTATAGATCAGCGTGTTAATGTGGATAACTTCTATAGATCTGCGTGTTAATGTGGATAACTTCTATAGATCGGCGTGTTAATGTGGATAACTTCTATAGATCGGCGTGTTAATGTGGATAACTTCTATAGATCGGCGTGTTAATGTGGATAACTTCTATAGATCGGCGTGTTAATGTGGATAACTTCTATAGATCGGCGTGTTAATGTGGATAACTTCTATAGATCGGCGTGTTAATGTGGATAACTTCTATAGATCGGCGTGTTAATGTGGATAACTTCTATAGATCGGCGTGTTAATGTGGATAACTTCTATAGATCGGCGTGTTAATGTGGATAACTTCTATAGATCGGCGTGTTAATGTGGATAACTTCTATAGATCGGCGTGTTAATGTGGATAACTTCTATAGATCGGCGTGTTAATGTGGATAACTTCTATAGATCGGCGTGTTAATGTGGATAACTTCTATAGATCGGCGTGTTAATGTGGATAACTTCTATAGATCGGCGTGTTAATGTGGATAACTTCTATAGATCAGCGTGTTAATGTGGATAACTTCTATAGATGTACTGCCATGCTGTATAAACTAATCTCAGGGTTTGTTCCGTCTCCAGCTGATGAAGCAGAGGCCGCGGTTCGTAGCGATGAAGAAGCAGCCAGCTTACATCGGAGGAGAAGGCCTGGAGCTCAGAGACTACCAGCTGGATGGGTTGAACTGGATGGCCCACTCCTGGAGCAAGTAGGTGGAGCCATGGACCCACTCAGCAGCTAGGCTCTGCTGTCAGCAGGGGTTTATGAGGCTGTAGGAGAAATCCAGAGAAAGGTTTCTGCTCTAATGACCTCTGACCTGTCCTTCATCTTACCCTTCAAATCAGCTCTGACCCATATCTGCCAATCAACGCATCCCAAAGGTCAACGCTAGGAAAAGGTTATGGTCAGAGAAGGAAGATGCTGCCCTGCTGTTTTTTTTTAATTTTATTTAACCAGGGAAAAAATTAACCTGACAACAGCCAGATGCATGTCTCGCTCCGCCTAGCTCCACTCACATACATCTGGGAAACCGCCATAGGAATTGCCTTTACTGAAGGCTGGGCCTTATCAAAACTCCTTGCATATGATTGGATAAGCCACTTGTCTGTCATCTTTATTGACGTGCTATTTCAACCACTCACACCGAGATGCTGTGAGAGGAGGAGCCATTTGGTAGATCAAGCTCTTGCCAAATTCGGTCGGGAGAAGGGCGAAAACATCGTTTCCACCAACAAAAGCCTTCAAAGCCGTTCTCTGATGTTCTTTTAATGAAACAATATCAGATAGATTGGACAACACAGAAGAAATAGCAGCATCAATGCTAACGCTTGCTTCCTCAATGCGAGCCGACATTGTTGTTGGAATCTCACGGTCGCTTCTCCACTCCAGGACACACCCACCCTGCGTCCTGATTGGACAGACCATAAATTCGGTTGGGGAAATCACTTTCAATGAGCGGGTTCCCAGATGTATGTGAGTGGAGCTGGGCGGAGCGAGACACGCATCTGGCTGTTGTCAGGTTAGGAAAAAATCCCATTGAGATGAAAAACCTTTTTTTCCTGGCCAAGAGGCAGCAACATACATAATAAACAGAGATACATTAAATTAAATGACAGCTACATGAAAAAACATATCAGTAAAACAATTATAGATCATTGTGGCTTCTTCAGATTCTTTCACTTACAACTTAAAAGCATTTAAAGATAGTTATGTTCAGGCAAAAGGAGCGGAGAGCAATAGGGCTGGGCGATATAGAAAAAAAGCTTATCGATAAAAAAAAATGCATATTGATCGATATCGATAATTATTGAAAAGATTTGAAACCATATTTTATGTGCAGCTCTGCCTGGAATTTTTATAATATTGCTAAATGATTTAATTTTAATAAAAAACACAAACACAGACTTCAAATTAAATCTTTATTTAGCCAACTTTTTTAACCATAACAGAATTGTTTTAAAGAAAAATAACGTAAGAGACCTGAGTTATGTTATTAAATACTGACAAAGAATAAACTAAAGTGACCAGAAAAGTGACCAAAATAAATATAACAAATAAATAAATGCCCCCCCACCGCCGCCCCCGTTTCCTGCTTTAACCTGAGTTATTACTTTGAAGTTTCTGGCCCCTCAGCATTTTTATCTCCATTGTTAGAACTACGTGGGAAACAGCCCAGAACTGAAAATATATATATATTTTCCGAAGATTCCTCGGAGGAGAGCCGCGTCGGGGCCTACACAGCTCGTACTCCTGCGGCTGTGAGCGGCTGAGATGATAAAAAAAAGTTGGTTTCGTTATCAGACTGGTTTTCACTGGTTCCCGACACATTTTCCAGGTGACTGTGGTTTGTTTTTGGTCCGACTTGCCATGACCGAAATACTGCCAGACTGCCGAACTACAAAAACCCTTCTTTGAAACAATTTCCTCCGCCTCTCCTTGCTGCACAGCTTCATGTGCTCTGTGTTGAGGTTTGAGAGGGCGGCGCTTGGTGACGTCGTGCCTGGGTCCGCGATTGTGATTGGTTGGGAGCAAGCAGTGACTAGCATAAACCTACATTCTAGGCTACAATGAGAAGGAAGGAAAACTGCGTTTCTTTTTTATCGAACTTTTATCGACCCTCTTTTTTTCTATTGCGCCACACGTCTATCGATCGATATATATCGTTATTGAATTATCGCCCAGCCCTAGTTCCAGGGTTCTTTGTGTTGTCCTCAGAGGGACCGGTGATTGTCCCCAGAGGGGCCGGTGGTTGTTGTCCCCACAGGGGCCGGTGGTTGTTGTCCCCAGAGGGACCGGTGATTGTTGTCCCCAGAGGGGCCGGTGGTGGTTGTCCCCAGAGGAGCTGTCGGTTGGCCCCATCTTGTTCCTTATAGTTCCAGGGTTCTTTGTGTTGTCCCCAGAGGGACCGGTTGTTGTCCCCAGAGGGGCCGGTGGTGGTTGTCCCCAGAGGGGCCGGTGGTGGTTGTCAGATGACGCTTGCCCCAACTGTCTTGTCAGGCCCTATTGGTCAGACTGGATCGGTTTGCTGCACTGGAGCAGCCTACCGACTGGGCAGGCGCTTCGCCGCGTACTCATTTGCCGATGGAGAAAGCGGTGTACAAACGATCTACCTTGGCTGCACCTTCGGTACCGATAAAAGCGTGCCAGACGGACCGATGCAGGGAGGTTGTCCACGAGAGTGGATCATCTCACTACTGAGCTGGCCCAAATGAAAGCCCTCCTCCAGTCCTTTCAGACTGCTGATGATCGTGGCACGGCTCTCCCACCCGAGCAGCATGAAATGTCAGTCAATGACGACGATGCTGTTTCTGTGGCGGCCTCTGGCACCCATTTCTGTGAGGACCTTCCGGAGCTGGGCTCCGGGGCCTCTGGGTCGGACTCCATTGCCTCCCAGGAGGATAATTAGTGTTCCTCAGGCCCAGCCTACGGCTTCCAGCGCCTTCTTTAGGCGCAGTAGGTCAGAGACTGCCTTTGTGGTTCCTCCCTCGGCAGAGTATGTGCGGGAACTTCATGCTTGCTGGTCAGACACCAAGGCGCTTTCACGTCTGACAACGGATGGCAGGGTCCTGGCAGCTATGCAGGAGGCACCCAAGGTTGGCTTGGGGCAGATGCCAGCGGTGGAACCGGGCATTGCCTCTCTTATTATCCCGCCTGATGAGGCTTTGCAGCCCAATGCCCGTTGTCCGTGTCCTCAGTGCCGTATTACCGACTACCTTCTCATCAAGGCCTATGACTCTGTGGCCCGCATGGGCGGGATTGGGAACTCTCTCTCCCATCTTATGCTGGCCCTGTCTTCCTCCTTGGAATCTGTTCAAGTGGATCATGCCACGAAAGGCCTGGTTGATGCATCTTTGCAGGCCTTTGCTCTTATGACGAGGGAACTTGGACGCACACTCTCCACACTGGTTCATGCTCGCCGCCAGGTCTGGTTGGCGCAGTCACCACTAACTGAGCCTTGTAGGAGGACCCTCCGGGCCCTGCCTGTGGTCCCGGGGGAGCTTTTTGGTTCTGCAGCACTGGACGCCTTGGACCGTACAGCTCAGGCCTCTAGAACGAGGCAACAGCTGGCAGGGCTTCACAGACGTGATCGCCAGCCAGTAAGCACCTGGGCAGCCCCCTACTGGCCAGCGAGGACTTGGTTTCCTCTACTGTGCGAGCTCAGCTCCGGCTCACCAATGCGTCTCCCCTCCAGGAGAGATCTTCTTTCCCAGATGGGGTGTCAGATTTTGCACCCCGAACCGGACCGGCTCCAGCTCTGGATTTGGCCCCTGCAAGGCCGGGGTCCACTTTCTCAAGATACACTGGGTCCATAGGGCATACAATGGCTAATGCATGGGCGCCGTCCACGCGAGCTGTCTATGCTAACAAGTGGACGGTCTTTGCGACCTGGTGCCGTGATAGAGGGCAGGACCCGGTGCAGTGTTCAGTTTCTGACATACTGACCTTCCTGCAGGTATTACTGGATCAAGGACGGTCTCCATCTACCTTAAAGGTGTATGTGGCTGCCATTTCCTGTTGGCATGTTGGGCTGAATGGTTGTTCTGTGGGCCGAGACAAGGATGTTGTACTGTTTTTAAGAGGTGCTCGGCGTTTGCACCCACCCAACCGCCCTGTGGCACCGGCGTGGGACCTTGCTCTTATGCTTGAGGCTCTTCTGTCCCTCCCATTTGAGCCCCTGGCGTCGGCAGACCTCAAATGGCTCTCACTGAAGACTGCGTTCCTTTTAGCTATGGTTTCCGCAAAACGTGTGGGGGAATTACAGGCTCTCGATAGCCGAGCCCTGCTGCCGGTGGAATCCTGATGGCTCAGGCATTACACTGTGGTCTGATGTAGCATTTATTCCTAAGGTATCACTGCCAGCAGGCAGTACCCAGCCTCTCCATCTTGCCCGGTTTGACTCCGGAAGCCCCTCTGAACCACTGTGTCCTGTTCGTGCCCTTGAGACATATATCAATGCCACGGCATCCTTCCGAAAGACAAATAGCCTTTTTGTTTGCTACGCTGGCTCACGGAAGGGTCAGGCACTTTCTAAGCAGCGACTTGCACTCTGGGTTGTGGATTTGATCTCCAAGGCTTATGCCTTGCAGGACCGGCCACTGCCGGCGGGAGTGAAATGCCACTCTACAAGGGGCATGTCGACGTCGTTTGCTGCTATGACTGGGGTGCCAGTGGATGTTATATGCCGTGCGGCCTCCTGGAAATCACCTTGTACCTTTACTCGGTTCTACAGGGTAAATGTGGCTGCGCCCCATCCGCTTCAAGGAATCCTGGAGCAGCATGCCTCTACATCACATTAGGTTGGTGGTGTAGTCGTTGTTCCTTGAATGTTGCTGATTCCTCGTGACCTTGTTGATATGAGTCATCCAGTGCTTGAAGCACCGCCTCTGGCGGTCAGTAGGGATGAAATAGAACGAAAGTTACTACCGTAACTACGGTTCTATGAATCCCAGATGACTGCCAGAGTGCTGGGTCCCTCGGAATCTCTGCTTTCGCGAGAAGATTGAGGGATTGATTGCCGGGTGCCATGTGACTATATAGACTCACGTGGGTCCCCTGCAGGTCACAGCTGACTTTGTTGTCATTAGTACTCGACCTGCGCATGCGCAAGAATGATCATTCAGTGCTTGAAGCACCGCCTCTGGCGGTCATCCGGGATTCATAGAACCGTAGTCACGGTAGTAACTTTCGTTCTTTGTGTTGTCCCCAGAGGGACCGGTGATTGTGGTGGTTGTCCCCAGAGGGGCCGGTGATTGTCCCCAGAGGGGCCGGTGCTTGTGTCCCCAGAGGAGCTGTCTGTTGGCCCCATCTTGTTCCTCATAGTTCCAGGGTTCTTTGTGTTGTCCCCAGAGGGACCGGTGGTTGTTGTCCCCAGAGGGACCGGTGGTTGTTGTCCCCAGAGGGACCAGTGGTGGTTGTCCCCAGAGGGACCAGTGGTGGTTGTCCCCAGAGGAGCTGTCGGTGGGCCCCGTCTTGTTCCTTATAGTTCCAGGGTTCTTTGTGTTGTCCCCAGAGGGACCGGTGATTGTGGTGGTTGTCGCCAGAGGGGCCGGTGGTGGTTGTCCCCAGAGTGGCCAGTGATTGTCCCCAGAGGGGCCGGTGCTTGTGTCCCCAGAGGAGCTGTCGGTGGGCCCCATCTTGTTCCTCATAGTTCCAGGGTTCTTTGTGTTGTCCCCAGAGGGACCGGTGGTTGTTGTCCCCAGAGGGACCGGTGATTGTCCCCAGAGGGACCAGTGGTGGTTGTCCCCAGAGGAGCTGTCGGTGGGCCCCGTCTTGTTCCTTATAGTTCCAGGGTTCTTTGTGTTGTCCCCAGAGGGACCGGTGATTGTGGTGGTTGTCCACAGAGGGACCGGTGGTGGTTGTCCCCAGAGGGACCGGTGATTGTCCCCAGAGGGACCGGTGGTGGTTGTCCCCAGAGGAGCTGTCGGTTGGCCCCGTCTTGTTCCTTATAGTTCCAGGGTTCTTTGTGTTGTCCCCAGAGGGACCGGTGATTGTGGTGGTTGTCGCCAGAGGGGCCGGTGGTGGTTGTCCCCAGAGTGGCCAGTGATTGTCCCCAGAGGGGCCGGTGCTTGTGTCCCCAGAGGAGCTGTCGGTGGGCCCCATCTTGTTCCTCATAGTTCCAGGGTTCTTTGTGTTGTCCCCAGAGGGACCGGTGGTTGTTGTCCCCAGAGGGGCCGGTGCTTGTGTCCCCAGAGGAGCTGTCGGTGGGCCCCATCTTGTTCCTCATAGTTCCAGGGTTCTTTGTGTTGTCCCCAGAGGGACCGGTGATTGTGGTGGTTGTCCACAGAGGGACCGGTGGTGGTTGTCCCCAGAGGGACCGGTGATTGTCCCCAGAGGGACCGGTGGTGGTTGTCCCCAGAGGAGCTGTCGGTTGGCCCCGTCTTGTTCCTTATAGTTCCAGGGTTCTTTGTGTTGTCAGATTCAGGTAATTTTCAATCGTCTTCCAGTCTTAAGCTCCAGGAATCCATGATGAAGGCCAGAGAAGCCAGGAGAAAATATTAACAGAAGTGGAAGAAGAGAAAAAAGCAGATGTTCTATGAAGGAGGCTCTAAATGAACTAAACCCCACCCAGGCACTGAGAAACAAACTCAATATTATCAATAACCCTTAGTTTACAAACAAAAAGTCAACCAGATTGTGCAGAGGATGAAACCATTAAAGCATCCCTAAAGGCATTCCAGCTTCCAGTTGGAGAGGAAAACAACAACATGCTGCTGCGAGCAGAGATTACAGAAAATCATTAGAAACTACAATAAAAAGAATGAAAATGAGCTGAACTCCAGGAAGCAATGGATAGAATGGAAATGTGTTTAGAAAGAGCTGAATCCCATGCTGCTAGCGTCCTGTCATCACTGAAGAGAGAGGAGATAATTACTGACATTCCTAAAGACTGCTGGAAAGTTAGAGACCAATACCTCTTCCTCTGCCGTTTCTGGCAGCCATCTTAGATTTAGTCTTCAGGATGAAAACTAATAATAGTTTTCATCCTGAAGACTCCTGATCCTGAAGATTCTCCTGATCTGCTATGAATTATGCATTACACAAAGATCAATAAAAGCGGCATTACTCCAAAAAAGCAACAAACAAAAACATTCTTCTTTCTACTTTGGCAATTTTAACTTTATTTCTTCATTTTCCAAAAAGGTGAAGCTGTTTGGAAAAATGTGCTTTGATGATTACTGACCACCCTTTGATTGAATACAATGAAAATGAAAGCGACGGACTGGACCGTCCTCTGCTGGCGGGTCGGTCCCTGGAGGTCTGGCTCCAGAAACAGGAGCTGGATTCAGACTCTAAACGCGTGTTTATCCCTCATAGAGGCAACAGCTGCATCCTGGCTGATGAGATGGGCCTAGGGAAGACCATCCAGACCATCTCCTTCCTAAACTACCTGTTCCATGAGCACCAGCTCTACGGGCCCTTCCTCCTGGTGGTGCCGCTGTCCACTCTGACCTCCTGGCAGAGGGAGATCCTGCTCTGGGCTCCAAAGATGAATGTTGTTGTTTACCTCGGCGACATCAGCAGCAGGAACATGGTGGGTTTTCTGTAGCTAATTTAGCTATATTAGCATGTTAGCTAGCGGCTGAATGTTATATGCTCTGTTTTCCCTGAATAGATCCGAACACATGAGTGGATGCACGTCCACAACAAGAGGCTGAAATTCAACATCCTCCTCACAACATATGAAATTCTTCTAAAAGACAAGGTCAGCTAATTCTGATGCTTCTGCAGCGAGCTGCTGATGCTTCTCCTGCAGCGAGCTGCTGATGCTTCTCCTGCAGCGAGCTGCTGATGCTTCTCCTGCAGCGAGCTGCTGATGTTCTCCTGCAGCGAGCTGCTGATGCTTCTCCTGCAGCGAGCTGCTGATGCTTCTCCTGCAGCGAGCTGCTGATGTTCTCCTGCAGCGAGCTGCTGATGTTCTCCTGCAGCGAGCTGCTGATGCTTCTCCTGCAGCGAGCTGCTGATGCTTCTCCTGCAGCGAGCTGCTGATGCTTCTCCTGCAGCGAGCTGCTGATGCTTCTCCTGCAGCGAGCTGCTGATGCTTCTCCTGCAGCGAGCTGCTGATGTTCTCCTGCAGCGAGCTGCTGATGGTTCTCCTGCAGCGAGCTGCTGATGCTTCTCCTGCAGCGAGCTGCTGATGTTCTCCTGCAGCGAGCTGCTGATGTTCTCCTGCAGCGAGCTGCTGATGTTCTCCTGCAGCGAGCTGCTGATGTTCTCCTGCAGCGAGCTGCTGATGCTTCTCCTGCAGCGAGCTGCTGATGCTTCTCCTGCAGCGAGCTGCTGATGCTTCTCCTGCAGCGAGCTGCTGATGCTTCTCCTGCAGCGAGCTGCTGATGTTCTCCTGCAGCGAGCTGCTGATGTTCTCCTGCAGCGAGCTGCTGATGTTCTCCTGCAGCGAGCTGCTGATGTTCTCCTGCAGCGAGCTGCTGATGTTCTCCTGCAGCGAGCTGCTGATGCTTCTCCTGCAGCGAGCTGCTGATGCTTCTCCTGCAGCGAGCTGCTGATGCTTCTCCTGCAGCGAGCTGCTGATGCTTCTCCTGCAGCGAGCTGCTGATGTTCTCCTGCAGCGAGCTGCTGATGTTCTCCTGCAGCGAGCTGCTGATGGTTCTCCTGCAGCGAGCTGCTGATGCTTCTCCTGCAGCGAGCTGCTGATGGTTCTCCTGCAGCGAGCTGCTGATGCTTCTCCTGCAGCGAGCTGCTGATGCTTCTCCTGCAGCGAGCTGCTGATGTTCTCCTGCAGCGAGCTGCTGATGCTTCTCCTGCAGCGAGCTGCTGATGTTCTCCTGCAGCGAGCTGCTGATGTTCTCCTGCAGCGAGCTGCTGATGTTCTCCTGCAGCGAGCTGCTGATGCTTCTCCTGCAGCGAGCTGCTGATGTTCTCCTGCAGCGAGCTGCTGATGGTTCTCCTGCAGCGAGCTGCTGATGCTTCTCCTGCAGCGAGCTGCTGATGTTCTCCTGCAGCGAGCTGCTGATGTTCTCCTGCAGCGAGCTGCTGATGTTCTCCTGCAGCGAGCTGCTGATGTTCTCCTGCAGCGAGCTGCTGATGTTCTCCTGCATTAAACCATCCTCTGCTGTGTCCAGTCCTTCTTAGGCGGCGTTAACTGGGCCTTCATCGGGGTGGATGAAGCTCACAGGCTGAAGAACGACGACTCTCTTCTCTACAAAACCATGATCGACTTTAAGTCCAGCCACAGGCTGCTGATCACAGGAACGCCTCTGCAGAACTCGCTCAAAGAGCTCTGGTCCCTGCTGCACTTCATCATGCCTGAAAAGTACGTAGAGTTTCTCTTCCTCTGCTTCCACTCCTTTCCTGTTTCCTTCTCTGGTTCCCAGCTCAATGCTAGCGAAGGCTAGCTGAGGACCAGCCACACCACCTCTGTTACATGTCTAAAGACATGTTTACTTCCTGCTGGTCAGTAGGCGGCGCCCTCACTGTTAGCCAGCCCCTTTCCCAGGAGCTCCCTCTGATCCGTCTGACTGACACTGCGTTCCCACTGGGAAGCAAACCTCTTTGCTTTAACCAGGTGACATGGATTATTGTCCGCTCATGTTTTACCTTAATCGAGCTTTGATGCAGTCAGTGAAATGCTAAAGGTTGCCCTGTTGAGCAAATGGATTTAGTCGGACATCAGCAAACACTTAGCCCCCCTGCTAACTCTGCTAACCACTGGTTTCCTTTGCTTTCTTGCTTTGGAGTCCCAAACAGAAACCAGACTTCTCTGGATTCGTTCCTCTCTTTGGTTGTGATCCATTTGAGGTTTAGGTTCATAAAAACATGAGCAAGGCTGATCTACTCACCAGGTGCTCCCAGGGTTTGCATGAGCAGAGCAGCAGTTGCCAACATTGGCAGCGCTGAGCTGCCTCTTTGTGCTGAATCTCTTTAGCCCGTTGCCAGCAGGTCAGACCCTGGATAGCTCTACTCCTCATCATGGTCTTCCTCTGGGACTGGGGCAGGGGCTCAGCAGCCTCTATCCAGGCTCCTCCTACAGGTCTGCTGGGGAAGCCTGAGGTGCTGCAGGCCACAGAGAGACATGGACCCTCCATGGGGTCTCCTCCTGGTAGAACTTCCCTGGTATCCCCAGAGGATAATAATGCCATATATTAAAATGCAGTAAATTGACTTTGAAAGTTATTCCTGGTTTTTTATCAGGTTATGTTCTGTTGCTGCAGCATTTGTTAACAACTGACTTATGCTGTTTGGTGTCGTATTGACTAGCTGCATTCACTACTGTAGATCGCCAGTAGATCGCCTGTAGATCGCCTGTAGATGAGTTGTGGATGGACATTAGATAGGCAGTAGATCGCTCGTAGATCGGCAGTGGATAGGCTTTAGATAGGCAGTAGATGGGAAGTAGATCGCCTATAGATTGGCAATGGATCTCTGTAGATTGGCAGTGGATCGACAGTGGATCACCTGTGGATCTCCTGTAGATCGACAGTGGATCACCTGTGGATCTCCTGTAGATCGACTGTGGATCACCTGTGGATCTCCTGTAGATCGACTGTGGATCACCTGTGGATCTCCTGTAGATCGACAGTGGATCTCCTGTAGATCAGCAGTGGATCACCTGTGGATCTCCTGTAGATCGACAGTGGATCACCTGTGGATCTCCTGTAGATCGACAGTGGATCTCCTGTAGATCAGCAGTGGATCAACAGTGGATCTCCTGTAGATCGACAGTGGATCACCTGTAGATAGGCTGTAGATCGACAGGGGATTGGTACTAGTAGATTGACGTTCCACTGATGAAGGTCGGTTCTGGTGTGCTGATCTACCGGTCACTGAAGTCAGTGAAGCTGCCTCAGCTCTTCTGTTTTTAACTTGTTTTCCAGGTTTCACTCCTGGGAGATGTTTGAGGAGGAGCATGGCAAAGGACGAGACTCTGGATACACCAGCCTCCACAAAGAGCTGGAGCCCTTCTTGCTGCGCCGCGTCAAGAAGGATGTGGAGAAGTCTCTGCCAGCTAAAGTGGAGCAGATCCTCCGGGTGGAGATGAGCGCCATCCAGAAGCAGTACTACAAGTAAGAGCACTGCGCCGCCTTCACAGGTCCCTGGAAACCTCAGACACTTGAAGGCTCTGGCAGCCTGCCTGTCCTTGAAAGTCCTTGAATGTTTTGGTGTTAGATGCTTACAGCGTGTCACTTCCTGTTAGTCCTTAACATAGTTAATGTAACAGCAGGTGTGATGGCGTGTGTGAACTCATCACAGGTGAAGCGTTGAGTCAGCGGACCTGCTGAGTCAGTCTGTTGAACAACTCAGCTGGAAAATCCTCATTTCAGAAGGAACAGCAGCCAATCAGAGTCTCTGGCCAGGACTTCTGCTTTCTAGGGACCCATGGAAAGGATCTGCTGTGAGCTGCTCATAGTCGCTGAAGTGTTTCTGATTGGCTGCTGGTCCCTAAAATAAAGCAAGAGCTGCTCCTTCCATTGTCCAGTTTGGTAGAAAAGTAAAGAGCTCTGCATGGAAGGCTCCGAGCTTTGCCTGAGAGGCAGCAGCAGCCGGGTCCTGTGGCACTGGGTGCTGTGCTGGCTCTCCAGTGGCAGGCCTGTTGATGACCCGTGCTGGCTCTCCAGTGGCAGGTCTGTTGATGACCCGCGCTGGCTCTCCAGTGGCAGGCCTGTTGATGACCCGTGCTGGCTCTCCAGTTGCAGGTCTGTTGATGACCCGCGCTGGCTCTCCAGTGGCAGGCCTGTTGATGACCCGTGCTGGCTCTCCAGTTGCAGGCCTGCTGATGACCCGTGCTGGCTCTCCAGTTGCAGGCCTGTTGATGACCCGTGCTGGCTCTCCAGTTGCAGGCCTGCTGATGACCCGTGCTGGCTCTCCAGTGGCAGGTCTGTTGATGACCCGCGCTGGCTCTCCAGTGGCAGGCCTGTTGATGACCCGTGCTGGCTCTCCAGTGGCAGGTCTGCCGATGACCCGTGCTGGCTCTCCAGTGGCAGGTCTGTTGATGACCCGTGCTGGCTCTCCAGTGGCAGGCCTGCTGATGACCCGTGCTGGCTCTCCAGTGGCAGGCCTGCTGATGACCCGTGCTGGCTCTCCAGTGGCAGGCCTGTTGATGACCCGTGCTGGCTCTCCAGTTGCAGGCCTGCTGATGACCCGTGCTGGCTCTCCAGTGGCAGGTCTGTTGATGACCCGCGCTGGCTCTCCAGTTGCAGGCCTGCTGATGACCCGTGCTGGCTCTCCAGTGGCAGGTCTGTTGATGACCCGCGCTGGCTCTCCAGTTGCAGGCCTGTTGATGACCCGTGCTGGCTCTCCAGTGGCAGGCCTGTTGATGACCCGTGCTGGCTCTCCAGTGGCAGGCCTGTTGATGACCCGTGCTGGCTCTCCAGTGGCAGGCCTGTTGATGACCCGCGCTGGCTCTCCAGTGGCAGGTCTGCCGATGACCCGTGCTGGCTCTCCAGTGGCAGGCCTGCTGATGACCTGTTTTTGTCCAGGTGGATTCTGACCAGGAACTACAAGGCTCTGAGCAAAGGCACCAAAGGCAGCACGTCTGGCTTCCTGAACATCATGATGGAGCTGAAGAAGTGCTGCAATCACTGTTACCTCATCAAACCTCCCGATGACAATGAAGCTCTCAACAAAACTGAAGCGTTACAGGTAAAGATGGACTTGTCAGAATCAGTCACTGGATCCACAGGTTCTGATTGGACGGTGTGAGTAGAAACGCCTTGTTACTGCTGGTGGTTGAAGCCTGTTCTCTTCTTTAAGCAACTAATCCGCAGCAGCGGGAAGCTGGTGCTTCTGGACAAACTGCTGGTTCGTCTGAAGGAGCGAGGCCACAGAGTCCTCATCTTCTCCCAGATGGTCCGGATGCTGGACATTCTGGCTGACTATCTGAAGAGCAAGAATTTCTACTTCCAGGTATTCCCAAGCTACTGAGGTCCTGAACTGGTTCATTGCTGTCATAGTATAGAGGATGACTGCTTTGTGTTGTTTCTGCAGCGATTAGACGGCTCCATCAAAGGAGAGATGCGGAAGCAAGCTCTGGATCATTTTAACGCCGAGGGTTCAGAGGTACGCCGTCTGACGCCGTGAGAGCAGTGGAATCAGACCCCAACCGTGACTCATGCTGGCTTTTCTCCTTGGTGTTCAGGACTTCTGCTTCCTGTTATCTACACGTGCCGGTGGACTGGGTATCAATCTAGCATCGGCTGATACAGTGGTGATCTTTGACTCTGATTGGAACCCACAGAATGACCTGCAAGCTCAGGCCAGAGCCCACCGGATTGGTCAGAAGAGACAGGTGAGGACAGAAGATCTTCATTAGAATGGAAACCTAAAACAACCCAAGACAGAAGGCAAACGTGTGGAGACAGCTGTAAGGTCTGAGGCCGTAAGGTCTGAGGCCGTACGGTCTGAGGCCGTAAGGTCTGAGGCCGTAAGGTCTGAGGCCGTACGGTCTGAGGCGGTACGGTCTGAGGCCGTATGGTCTGAGGCCGTAAGGTCTGAGGCCGTACGGTCTGAGGCCGTACGGTCTGAGGCCGTACGGTCTGAGGCGGTACGGTCTGAGGCGGTACGGTCTGAGGCCGTAAGGTCTGAGGCCGTAAGGTCTGAGGCCGTACGGTCTGAGGCCGTACGGTCTGAGGCGGTACGGTCTGAGGCGGTATGGTCTGAGGCCGTAAGGTCTGAGGCCGTACGGTCTGAGGCGGTACGATCTGAGGCCGTACGGTCTGAGGCCGTACGGTCTGAGGCGGTACGGTCTGAGGCCGTAAGGTCTGAGGCCGTAAGGTCTGAGGCCGTACGGTCTGAGGCCGTACGGTCTGAGGCGGTACGGTCTGAGGCCGTACGGTCTGAGGCCGTACGGTCTGAGGCCGTAAGGTCTGAGGCCGTAAGGTCTGAGGCCGTACGGTCTGAGGCCGTACGGTCTGAGGCGGTACGGTCTGAGGCCGTACGGTCTGAGGCCGTACGGTCTGAGGCCGTACGGTCTGAGGCCGTACGGTCTGAGGCCGTAAGGTCTGAGGCCGTACGGTCTGAGGCCGTACGGTCTGAGGCCGTAAGGTCTGAGGCCGTACGGTCTGAGGCCGTACGGTCTGAGGCCGTACGGTCTGAGGCCGTACGGTCTGAGGCGGTACGGTCTGAGGCCGTACGGTCTGAGGCCGTAAGGTCTGAGGCCGTACGGTCTGAGGCCGTAAGGTCTGAGGACGTACGGTCTGAGGCCGTACGGTCTGAGGCCGTAAGGTCTGAGGCCGTACGGTCTGAGGCCGTACGGTCTGAGGCCGTAAGGTCTGAGGCCGTAAGGTCTGAGGACGTACGGTCTGAGGCCGTACGGTCTGAGGCCGTACGGTCTGAGGCCGTAAGGTCTGAGGCCGTAAGGTCTGAGGCCGTAAGGTCTGAGGACGTACGGTCTGAGGCCGTACGGTCTGAGGCCGTAAGGTCTGAGGCCGTACGGTCTGAGGCCGTAAGGTCTGAGGACGTACGGTCTGAGGCCGTACGGTCTGAGGCCGTAAGGTCTGAGGCCGTACGGTCTGAGGCCGTACGGTCTGAGGCCGTACGGTCTGAGGCTGTAAGCCTAGCCTTAAAAGTAGACAGGGTGTCTGCCTCATGGACTAAAACTGGTAGTTAGTTCCACAGGAGAGGAGCCTGATAACTAAAAGATCTGCCTCCCATTCTACTTTTAGAAATTCTAGGAACCACTAGTAAACCTGCAGATTGAGAGCGAAGTGCTCTGTTAGGAACAATCATATCTCTGTGTGTGTTACTGTTCCTCTGATGTGTGTTTGTATCTGGCAGGTAAATATCTATCGGCTGGTGACAAAAAGCTCAGTGGAAGAAGATATCATTGAGAGGGCCAAAAAGAAAATGGTGTTAGACCACCTGGTCATTCAAAGGATGGACACCACCGGAAAAACTGTCCTTCATACGGGAGCTGCACCCTCAAGGCAAGCAGAGCCGCCCACATCCTGAGATGTTTGGCCTCTGGTCAAAGTGTGCGTCACGCAGTAAAACATGTTTTCTCCTCCTCACAGCTCTGCACCGTTCAGCAAAGAGGAACTGTCGGCCATCCTGAAGTTTGGAGCTGAAGAGCTGTTCAAAGAGCCAGAAGGTGAAGAGCAGGAACCTCAGGTTGGTGTTGGAACAGCTCAGCTATCGTTCTGCTCACAAGGCAAAGCTGGACTTAAAATGGCTTCAGGTTCACCTCCAGCGTTGTTCTGAAACCGCCAACCGCTCTGGGCTGCTTTGACTACTCTGTACCTGCAGTTCACGGGTAGTTGGGTGACTAGTTAAAGTTAGATGAAGTATATTTGAAAGGTGTATATATATATATATATAGGTAATATAAGAAGGGTAGCATAGGCTCCATGCAGGAGGACTCTGGAGGAACCAAAGAACTTGGTGACCTCTGCCATGGAGCCTCCTTCTGCTTTGAGCCAAACTCCTAGGTTCAAAGAGCTGCAGAGGAAGGTCGGTCACTGAGGTGTGATGGATGAAGACGCATCAATAAATAGCAATGAATCAGCTACTGATAAAGAGCCTGAGGCCGAAGTGAAGGAGGGATTGCTGATGTGAATGCTTTGCTCTGTTCTGTGTCTCAGGAGATGGACATCGATGAGATCCTGAAAAGAGCAGAGACCAGGGAGAACGATCCGGGACCGTCCACCGTAGGAGAGGAGCTGCTGTCTCAGTTCAAGGTCAGAGATCCTCCAGAGAGCTGCTGAACACCACCTCCACATTCCTGAGAGCTAAGCTCTGATCGTTGGTCCGCAGGTCGCCAACTTCTCCATGATGGATGATGAAGACCTGGATATCGACTCTGAGCGAAGTCAGCGGAGCTGGGATGACATCATACCCGAAGAACAGAGGAGGAGGATGGAGGAGGAGGAGAGACAGAAGGAGCTGGAAGAGATTTACATGCTACCACGCATGAGGAACTGTGCCAAGCAGGTGAGTTCCTCCTGCTGCCGCTAGTCCATCTAATCCAGCATAACAGCAGGACGGGTTGGTAGCTTAACTAGCAGGTTAGGTTCTGTGCTACAGGACGGGTTGGTAGCTTAACTAGCAGGTGAGGTTCTGTGCTACAGGACGGGTTGGTAGCTTAACTAGCAGGTTAGGTTCTGTGCTACAGGACGGGTTGGTAGCTTAACTAGCAGGTGAGGTTCTGTGCTACAGGATGGGTTGGTAGCTTAACTAGCAGGTTCTGGTTCTGTGCTACAGGACGGGTTGGTAGCTTAACTAGCAGGTGAGGTTCTGTGCTACAGGACGGGTTGGTAGCTTAACTAGCAGGTTCTGGTTCTGTGCTACAGGACGGGTTGGTAGCTTAACTAGCTTAACTAGCAGATCTAGTTCAACACATCCTCTTGGTTAATATAGCAGATCTAGTTCAACACATCCTCTTGGATAATATAGCAGATCTAGTTCAACACATCCTCTAGGTTAATATAGCAGATCTAGTTCAACACATCCTCTAGGTTAATATAGCAGATCTAGTTCAACACATCCTCTTGATTAATATAGCAGATCTAGTTCAACACATCCTCTTGATTAATATAGCAGATCTAGTTCAACACATCCTCTAGGTTAATATAGCAGATCTACAGGTGCTGGTCATAAAATTAGAATATCATGAAAAAGTAGATTGATTTCAGTAATTCCATTTAAAAAGTGAAACTTGTATATTATATTCATACATTACATACAAACTCATATATTTCAGATGTTTAGTTTGTTTAATTTTGATGATTACAAATGACAACAAATGAAAATCTCAAATTCATCATATCAGAAAATTAGAATATTACTGAAGACCAATAAAAACAAAGGATTTATAGAAATGTTGGCCAACTGAAAAGTATGAACATGAAAAGTATGAGCATGTACAGCACTCAGTATTTAGTTGGGCCTCCTTTGGCCTGTATTACTGCAGCAATGCGGCGTGGCATGGAGTCGATCAGTCTGTGGCACTGCTCAGGTGTTATGATAGCCCAGGTTGCTCTAATAGTGGCTTTTAGCTCTTCTGAATTGTTGGGTCTGGTGTATTGCATCTTCTTCTTCACAATACCCCATAGATTTTCTATGGGGTTAAGGTCAGGAGAGTTTGCTGGCCAATTAAGAACAGGGATACCATGGTCCTTCAACCAGGTACTGGTAGCTTTGGCACTGTGTGCAGGTGCCAAGTCCTGTTGGAAAATGAAATCTGCATCTCCAAAAAGTTGGTCAGCTGCAGGAAGCATGAAGTGCTCTAAAACTTCCTGGTATGTGGCTGCGTTGACCCTGGACCTCAAAAAACCCAATGGACCAACACCAGCAGATGACATGGCACCCCAAACCATCACTGACTGTGGAAACTTTACACTGGACTTCAAGCAACGTGGATGAAGTGCCTCTCTTCTTTTCCTCCAGACTCTGGGACCTTGATTTCCAAAGGAAATGCAAAATTTACTTTCATCAGAGAACATGACTTTGGACCACTCACCAGCAGTCCAGTCCTGTTTCTCTTTAGCCCAGGCAAGACGCTTCTGACGCTGTCTGTGGTTCAAGAGTGGCTTGACACAAGGAATGCGACAGCAGAAACCCATGTCTTTCATACGTCTGTGTGTGGTGGTTCTTGAAGCACTCACTCCAGCTGCAGTCCACTCTTTGTGAATCTCCCCCACATTTTTGAAGGGGTTTTGTTTCACAATCCTCTCCAGGGTGCGGTTATCTCTCTTGCTTGTACACTTTTTTCGACCACATCTTTTCCTTCCCTTCGCCTCTCTATTAATGTGCTTGGACACTGAGCTCTGTGAACAGCCAGCCTCTTTAGCGATGACCTTTTGTGTCTTGCCCTCCTTGTGCAAGGTGTCGATGGTCGTCTTTTGGACAACTGTCAAGTCAGCAGTCTTCCCCATGATTGTGTAGCCTATAGAACTAGACTGAAAGACCATTTAAAGGCTTTTGCAGGTGGTTTGAGTTAATTAGCTGATTAGAGTGTGGCACCAGGGGCCATCAATTTTGAACCTTTTCACAATATTCTAATTTTCTGATATGATGAATTTGAGATTTTCATTTGTTGTCATTTGTAATCATCAAAATTAAACAAAATAAACATCTGAAATATATGAGTTTGTATGTAATGTATGAATATAATATACAAGTTTCACTTTTTAAATGGAATTACTGAAATCAATCTACTTTTTCATGATATTCTAATTTTATGACCAGCACCTGTAGTTCAACACATCCTCTTGGTTAATATAGCAGATCTAGTTCAACACATCCTCTTGGTTAATATAGCAGATCTAGTTCAACACATCCTCTTGGTTAATATAGCAGATCTAGTTCAACACATCCTCTTGGTTAATATAGCAGATCTAGTTCAACACATCCTCTTGGTTAATATAGCAGATCTAGTTCAACACATCCTCTTGGTTAATATAGCAGATCTAGTTCAACACATCCTCTAGGTTAATATAGCAGATCTAGTTCAACACATCCTCTAGGTTAATATAGCAGATCTAGTTCAACACATCCTCTTGGTTAATATAGCAGATCTAGTTCAACACATCCTCTTGGTTAATATAGCAGATCTAGTTCAACACATCCTCTTGGTTAATATAGCAGATCTAGTTCAACACATCCTCTTGGTTAATATAGCAGATCTAGTTCAACACATCCTCTTGGTTAATATAGCAGATCTAGTTCAACACATCCTCTTGGTTAATATAGCAGATCTAGTTCAACACATCCTCTTGGTTAATATAGCAGATCTAGTTCAACACATCCTCTTGGTTAATATAGCAGATCTAGTTCAACACATCCTCTAGGTTAATATAGCAGATCTAGTTCAACACATCCTCTTGGTTAATATAGCAGATCTAGTTCAACGCATCCTCTTGGTTAATATAGCAGATCTAGTTCAACGCATCCTCTTGGTTAATATAGCAGATCTAGTTCAACGCATCCTCTTGGTTAATATAGCAGATCTAGTTCAACACATCCTCTTGGTTAATATAGCAGATCTAGTTCAACACATCCTCTTGGTTAATATAGCAGATCTAGTTCAACTCATCCTCTTGGTTAATATAGCAGATCTAGTTCAACGCATCCTCTTGGTTAATATAGCAGATCTAGTTCAACGCATCCTCTTGGTTAATATAGCAGATCTAGTTCAACGCATCCTCTTGGTTAATATAGCAGATCTAGTTCAACGCATCCTCTTGGTTAATATAGCAGATCTAGTTCAACGCATCCTCTTGGTTAATATAGCAGATCTAGTTCAACGCATCCTCTGGGTTAATATAGCAGATCTAGTTCAACGCATCCTCTTGGTTAATATAGCAGATCTAGTTCAACACATCCTCTAGGTTAATATAGCAGATCTAGTTCAACACATCCTCTGGGTTAATATACACTATATTGCCAAAAGTATTTGCTCACCTGCCTTGACTCACATATGAGCTTAAGTGACATCCCGTTCCTAATCCATAGGGTTCAATATGACGTCGGTCCACCCTTTGCAGCTAGAACAGCTTCAACTCTTCTGGGAAGGCTGTCCACAAGGTTTAGGAGTGTGTTTATGGGAATTTTTGACCATTCTTCCAGAAGCGCATTTGTGAGGTCGCACACTGATGTTGGACGAGAAGGCCTGGCTCTCAGTCTCCGCTCTAATTCATCCCAAAGGTGTTCTATCGGGTTGAGGTCAGGACTCTGTGCAGGCCAGTCAAGTTCATCCACACCAGACTCTGTCATCCATGTCTTTATGGACCTTGCTTTGTGCACTGGTGCACAGTCATGTTGGAAGAGGAAGGGGCCAGCTCCAAACTGTTCCCACAAAGTTGGGAGCATGGAATTGTCCAAAATGTCTTGGTATGCTGAAGCATTCAGAGTTCCTTTCACTGGAACTAAGGGGCCAAGCCCAGCTCCTGAAAAACAACCTCACACCATAATCCCCCCTCCACCAAACTTTACACTTGGCACAATGCAGTCAGACAAGTACCGTTCTCCTGGCAACCGCCAAACCCAGACCCGTCCATCAGATTGCCAGATGGAGAAGCGCGATTCGTCACTCCAGAGAACGCGTCTCCACTGCTCTAGAGTCCAGTGGCGGCGTGCTTTACACCACCGCATCCGACGCTTTGCATTGCACTTGGTGATGTATGGCTTGGATGCAGCTGCTCGACCATGGAAACCCATTCCATGAAGCTCTCTGCGCACTGTTCTTGAGCTAATCTGAAGGCCACATGAAGTTTGGAGGTCTGTAGTGATTGACTCTGCAGAAAGTTGGCGACCTCTTCGCACTATGCGCGTCAGCATCCGCTGACCCCGCTCCGTCAGTTTACGTGGCCTACCACTTCGTGGCTGAGTTGCTGTCGTTCCCAAACACTTCCATTTTCTTATAATACAGCTGACAGTTGACTGTGGAATATTTAGGAGCGAGGAAATTTCACGACTGGATTTGTTGCACAGGTGGCATCCTATCACAGTTCCACGCTGGAATTCACTGAGCTCCTGAGAGCGACCCATTCTTTCACAAATGTTTGTAAAAACAGTCTGCATGCCTAGGTGCTTGAATTTATACACCTGTGGCCATGGAAGTGATTGGAACACCTGATTCCAATAATTTGGATGGGTGAGCAAATACTTTTGGCAATATAGTGTAGCAGATCTAGTTCAACACATCCTCTTGGTTAATATAGCAGATCTAGTTCAACACATCCTCTAGGTTTATATAGCAGATCTAGTTCAACACATCCTCTTGGTTAATATAGCAGATGTAGTTCAACACATCCTCTTGGTTAATATAGCAGATCTAGTTCAACACATCCTCTTGGTTAATATAGCAGATCTAGTTCAACACATCCTCTTGGTTAATATAGCAGATCTAGTTCAACACATCCTCTTGGTTAATATAGCAGATCTAGTTCAACACATCCTCATGGTTAATATAGCAGATCTAGTTCAACACATCCTCTAGGTTTATATAGCAGATCTAGTTCAACACATCCTCTTGGTTAATATAGCAGATCTAGTTCAACACATCCTCTTGGTTAATATAGCAGATCTAGTTCAACACATCCTCTTGGTTAATATAGCAGATCTAGTTCAACACATCCTCTTGGTTAATATAGCAGATCTAGTTCAACACATCCTCTTGGTTAATATAGCAGATCTAGTTCAACACATCCTCTTGGTTAATATAGCAGATCTAGTTCAACACATCCTCTTGGTTAATATAGCAGATCTAGTTCAACACATCCTCTTGGTTAATATAGCAGATCTAGTTCAACACATCCTCTTGGTTAATATAGCAGATCTAGTTCAACACATCCTCTTGGTTAATATAGCAGATCTAGTTCAACACATCCTCTTGGTTAATATAGCAGATCTAGTTCAACACATCCTCTTGGTTAATATAGCAGATCTAGTTCAACACATCCTCTTGGTTAATATAGCAGATCTAGATCAACACATCCTCTTGGTTAATATAGCAGATCTAGTTCAACACATCCTCTTGGTTAATATAGCAGATCTAGTTCAACACATCCTCTTGGTTAATATAGCAGATCTAGTTCAACACATCCTCTTGGTTAATATAGCAGATCTAGTTCAACACATCCTCTAGGTTAATATAGCAGATCTAGTTCAACACATCCTCTAGGTTAATATAGCAGATCTAGTTCAACACATCCTCTCGGTTAATATAGCAGATCTAGTTCAACACATCCTCTTGGTTAATATAGCAGATCTAGTTCAACACATCCTCTTGGTTAATATAGCAGATCTAGTTCAACACATCCTCTGGGTTAATATAGCAGATCTAGTTCAACACATCCTCTTGGTTAATATAGCAGATCTAGTTCAACACATCCTCTTGGTTAATATAGCAGATCTAGTTCAACACATCCTCTTGGTTAATATAGCAGATCTAGTTCAACACATCCTCTTGGTTAATATAGCAGATCTAGTTCAACACATCCTCTTGGTTAATATAGCAGATCTAGTTCAACACATCCTCTGGGTTAATATAGCAGATCTAGTTCAACACATCCTCTAGGTTAATATAGCAGATCTAGTTCAACACATCCTCTAGGTTAATATAGCAGATCTAGTTCAACACATCCTCTTGGTTAATATAGCAGATCTAGTTCAACACATCCTCTAGGTTAATATAGCAGATCTAGTTCAACACATCCTCTAGGTTAATATAGCAGATCTAGTTCAACACATCCTCTTGGTTAATATAGCAGATCTAGTTCAACACATCCTCTTGGTTAATATAGCAGATCTAGTTCAACACATCCTCTTGGTTAATATAGCAGATCTAGTTCAACACATCCTCTAGGTTAATATAGCAGATCTAGTTCAACACATCCTCTAGGTTAATATAGCAGATCTAGTTCAACACATCCTCTTGGTTAATATAGCAGATCTAGTTCAACACATCCTCTAGGTTAATATAGCAGATCTAGTTCAACACATCCTCTAGGTTAATATAGCAGATCTAGTTCAACACATCCTCTTGGTTAATATAGCAGATCTAGTTCAACACATCCTCTTGGTTAATATAGCAGATCTAGTTCAACACATCCTCTAGGTTAATATAGCAGATCTAGTTCAACACATCCTCTAGGTTAATATAGCAGATCTAGTTCAACACATCCTCTAGGTTAATATAGCAGATCTAGTTCAACACATCCTCTAGGTTAATATAGCAGATCTAGTTCAACACATCCTCTTGGTTAATATAGCAGATCTAGTTCAACACATCCTCTTGGTTAATATAGCAGATCTAGTTCAACACATCCTCTTGGTTAATATAGCAGATCTAGTTCAACACATCCTCTTGGTTAATATAGCAGATCTAGTTCAACACATCCTCTTGGTTAATATAGCAGATCTAGTTCAACACATCCTCTGGGTTAATATAGCAGATCTAGTTCAACACATCCTCTAGGTTAATATAGCAGATCTAGTTCAACACATCCTCTAGGTTAATATAGCAGATCTAGTTCAACACATCCTCTAGGTTAATATAGCAGATCTAGTTCAACACATCCTCTTGGTTAATATAGCAGATCTAGTTCAACACATCCTCTTGGTTAATATAGCAGATCTAGTTCAACACATCCTCTTGGTTAATATAGCAGATCTAGTTCAACACATCCTCTTGGTTAATATAGCAGATCTAGTTCAACACATCCTCTTGGTTAATATAGCAGATCTAGTTCAACACATCCTCTAGGTTAATATAGCAGATCTAGTTCAACACATCCTCTAGGTTAATATAGCAGATCTAGTTCAACACATCCTCTTGGTTAATATAGCAGATCTAGTTCAACACATCCTCTAGGTTAATATAGCAGATCTAGTTCAACACATCCTCTTGGTTAATATAGCAGATCTAGTTCAACACATCCTCTTGGTTAATATAGCAGATCTAGTTCAACACATCCTCTTGGTTAATATAGCAGATCTAGATCAACACATCCTCTTGGTTAATATAGCAGATCTAGTTCAACACATCCTCTAGGTTAATATAGCAGATCTAGTTCAACACATCCTCTGGGTTAATATAGCAGATCTAGTTCAACACATCCTCTTGGTTAATATAGCAGATCTAGTTCAACACATCCTCTTGGTTAATATAGCAGATCTAGTTCAACACATCCTCTAGGTTAATATAGCAGATCTAGTTCAACACATCCTCTAGGTTAATATAGCAGATCTAGTTCAACACATCCTCTTGGTTAATATCGCAGATCTAGTTCAACACATCCTCTTGGTTAATATAGCAGATCTAGTTCAACACATCCTCTTGGTTAATATAGCAGATCTAGTTCAACACATCCTCTAGGTTAATATAGCAGATCTAGTTCAACACATCCTCTAGGTTAATATAGCAGATCTAGTTCAACACATCCTCTTGGTTAATATCGCAGATCTAGTTCAACACATCCTCTTGGTTAATATAGCAGATCTAGTTCAACACATCCTCTTGGTTAATATAGCAGATCTAGTTCAACACATCCTCTTGGTTAATATAGCAGATCTAGTTCAACACATCCTCTTGGTTAATATCGCAGACAGACAAGCTGTCCAATAAAGGAAAAGTTTTAGACTTCCAAGGTTTCCATCCTAAAGCAAACCCTTCCTGGTCTCCTGTGCTTATTGGAGCAGTTTTATTGATCTGTGTGTAACGCATTATTCAAAGAACAAAAACATTCTTCTTTCTACTTTGGGAAGAGAGAACCTCCATATTTACCTTGTGATGCCATGGCAACCCAGACCTACATTTCAATATGTGAACAAAAATCTTCAGATAGATAGAAACGAGAACAATGAAAGAGAAATATTCAAAGGTTTATGTATTTTTTCATCTGGATCTTTATTCAGAGATAAACAGAATTCAATTAAATATTTCCTTTGGATCTAATTGAGGGATTCGATTTGGTAGAAATGAAAGAATGTTTAGAATCGCCTCTGGTGAGCTGGAAGAAATAAGATCTTGATTGGCAGAGGATGATCAGCCATATCTAGTTTATTAAGTAGCGAGAGCTTGATCCATCTGAGGTCATGCAGCATGAGGAGAGCTGCACGCCAGGTGGGGGGCGTGGCCAAACATGATGCAGCTCCTTTGCAGATTACTGCTCATTGATGCATTTAAACATCTGCCAGACAACCTGATCATTTTTTATTTAGTCAATGAAAACTCTCACCACGACTCTCCTCAGTTCTCTCTATTGTGTTCATGGAAAAATGTCTTACTGGTTGATAAAACTTCACTGGCCGATTAATTCCTTCAGTGAAGTGAGTTGATGTAAACGGTTGCTATAGAAACAGACGGGTCGTCCATGAGTGGACCGAGGGGGCTCCTCTCTAACATCTTTCTGTTTTGGCAGATAAGCTTCAACTCTGACAGACGGCAGAGCAGGAACAGGAGATATTCAGGCTCGGACAGCGACTCCAACTCAGACCGAAAGAGACCAAAGAAACGCGGGCGACCCCGGACCATTCCACGGGAAAACATCAAAGGTTTTACAGACGCAGAGATCCGCAGGTGAGTCTCTGCTTCAGGGCTTCTGCTGCTCTCACCTGATGCCGCTTTGACTTCCACGTATCTTTGGATCCTGCAGGTTTGTGAAGAGTTACAAGAAGTTTGGAGGCCCTCTGGAAAGGTGAGCTGCAGCAGCTGATGACCTGCGACCCCTCCGGCTGAGCAGATGTTAACGCCTGTTCCTGCTGTCTCTCTCAGGCTGGACGCCATCGCCCGCGATGCTGAGCTGGTGGATAAATCGGAACATGACCTGAAACGCCTGGCAGAGACTGTCCATAACGGATGTCTGAGGACACTACGTGAAAACCCCTGTGGTCCAGAAAAGGCGTCAGGTAATCCTCCAGTCTCCTCCTAAAGATGGAGGAGCTGTAGATCAGTCAACCAGTTAAAGGTTCTGTCGACCCAGTTCTACCAGCGTCTGTGTTCCTGCTCTTCATTTAACCGCCACTCATCGGGTTAGTTGCTTTTATTAGTGTTTATTGGTCCAATTACACATTTATTTAGTCATTTTCTATACACAAGTGTCAACAAAAAGACATTTTGTTTAAAACAGCTCTGGACAGTTTCATTTTTTTAAGTGCAGCCTTGAAAACAGTAATAAATACATGAAAAATAGTAATATAAACATATGACTGTATGTTTACAGTTGTAAACATATTTTTTTTTAATAAATAAAATAACCCATTTTATACAACAATTCATCAGTGTGATGGCGGTGGGGAAGAAGCTGTTCCAGAACCTTCTGGATCAGGAAACGAACTTCACCATGTGATGGTGGTGAACCCGGGGACGCAGTCATGTGGCGAAATGTGCCAATGTGTCTGTTAGCGTCTCTCTGACTCGGGATGTTGCTGCTAGATGGCTGCATAGCTGCAACTATATCCCGACAACATGCAGTCCCACAGCTCCAGCGATACCGTCGAGTCTGAGCGCCGGCGGTTCCGGTCCACTCTGGGCTCCGGCTGTTCCAGCCGGCTTTTCCGGTTCAGTTGACTCTGGACAACATCCAGTAGCAGTTTTTCTATAACCTGAAGCCGTTGGTTGTTTCTAGAACTTCTCACGTTGTTCTTTTCCTTTGTGTGTGACGATCAGCAGGAAGACGAGGAAAAGTTAAAGGTCCGACGTTCCGGATCTCTGGGGTCCAGGTGAACGCCAAGCTGGTCATCTCCCATGAAGAGGAACTGGCTCCTCTTCATAAGGCCATCCCCGCCGACCCTGAGGAGAGAAAGAAGTAAGCCTGACTCTGAAAGCAAGGCTTGGCCCCGCCCCCTAAGTGGGCGGAGCCAGACCTGTGAAACATGATTGAAAGTTAGGGCTGAGATGAAAGCTGTTTTGATTATTTATTATGATGAGGTTATCATATCCTCGATTTATTAAATAACGGCAGGTCAGACTTTGATGCCTGGAGCTAACAGTTAGCTTGTTGCTACTGCAGGTACATGATCCCGTGTCACTCCAAGGCGGCGCACTTTGACATCGACTGGGGGAAGGAGGACGACTCCAGTCTGCTGATTGGGATCTATGAATACGGTTACGGCAGCTGGGAGATGATCAAGATGGACCCCGACCTCAACCTCACACACAAGGTGGGTCCATGACTCCTGGAGGGGGGGGGGCCTCCAGAGCAGCGGTCTGCTCCCAGCAGAGTGTGAATGAACAGATTGTGTATTGAAAAAGAAGAAAATGTGACTAATGCCTCCTTTATAATCCCTCCTAATCCAGCTGTTACCAGATGATCCTGACAAGAAGCCGCAGGCCAAACAGCTCCAAGCCAGAGCCGACTACCTCATCAAGCTACTGAGCAAGGACCTGGCCAAGAAGGAGGCCCAGAAGCAGGCTGGAGCGGTGCGGCCCTCCTCATCCTCATTTTCATCCTCAGCCTGGCTGCCTGCTCATCTCAGATGTCTCTGTGGTTTCAGGCTAACTCACGCAAGAGGAAACCCAGGAGGAAACTCAGCAAAGCTCAGAAATCAGGAAAGGGCGAGGAAGCCATGAAGAGCCCGTCTTCAGACCTGACGTCAGACAAGAGGTCCGAGGATGAGAACGAGTTTGACCTGGAAAAGGTAAAATCTGCTCCCTATCAGTCCGGCCTTCCACGGAGCGTGTTCCAATGTAACATGAATTCCCGCTTTAGAAGATGGCAGGAAAGGCTGCGAGCAAACGCAGTCAGGGAGAGGAGGAGGAGGAGCATCAGCACGACGCTTCCTCATCAGAAGAGAAGGATGACAAAGAGAGGGAGGAGAAGAAGGAGAAGGCTGACGGCTGTGACCTGAAGGACAGGAGAGAAATGAAGCTTTTTGATCCCGTTCAGAAACAGGAGGACGACGAAGAGAAGGTGAGGAAAGATCTTCAAGGACTGAATGAAGAACCAGAGTCGGTGAAATAAAACCAGGTTTTCTGTCTCCATCAGATCGAAGTAAAGACTGAGGTACGAGATCGGACCAAGAAGGCGTCCAGCGCTCCCAGCGCTGCGGAGAGCCTGTCTGTGTGCGAGGAGGCCGAGGAGCTGGACCAGAGGACCTTCAGCGTGGTACGTTTATCCTGGTCCTGCTCCAGGACGGGTTGGTTCCCTCTGACCGCTGACAGACGCCGTCTGAGGTCGCTGCCTTAAACAGACGGCGCAGACCTCCTTCAGATCCACACACTAAACTGCTCCAGAACAAATATTACAGCATTCCTCTCTTTTATTCTATGACTTCATTATTTTCATAGCTCTGGCTGTCAGATATCAAACCAATCTACATTTAGTTTTCTGGAGTTTGATAAAAGATGAATCAGATCAATTATCGACGCCATTATTATCTGACGGTTTGAGGCCCGCTTCACAGACGGCCTTTAAATGTTCCTGCATGGTTGTAGATGAAGGACTGAACGGCTAGCAGACGCCGTGGCTAGCAGACGCCGCGGTTAGCAGACGCCGTGGCTAGCAGACGCCGTGGCTAGCAGACGCCGTGGCTAGCAGACGCCGTGGCTAGCAGACGCCGTGGCTAGCAGACCCTGCATCTAGCAGACGCCGTGGTTAGCAGACGCCGCGGCTAGCAGACGCCACGGTTAGCAGACCCTGCATCTAGCAGACGCCGTGGCTAGCAGACGCCGCGGCTAGCAGACGCCGTGGCTAACAGCCTCTTAACAGCAGCTGCGGCCTCTGTGTGTGTTCCAGTGTAAGGAGAGGATGCGGCCGGTAAAAGCGGCCTTGAAGCAGCTGGACCGACCGGAGAAAGGCCTGTCGGAGCGCGAGCAGCTGGAGCACACCAGGCAGTGCCTGATAAAGATTGGAGACCACATCACCCAATGTCTGAAGGAGTACTCTCACCCCGACCACATCAAGCAGTGGAGAAAGTAGGTTTGACTGGTTTGGTTGGTTTCCATCCTGGTTCTGGATTCTAAGCTCAGCTTTGTTCTGCAGGAACCTCTGGATCTTTGTCTCCAAGTTCACAGAGTTTGATGCAAGAAAACTCCACAAACTCTACAAACACGCCATCAAGAAGAGACACGAGAACGTCCAGGTACGTCCAGGAGACGCTGTCCTTGCCTTTAGCCTCGGTTGCCCCGGCGACCGTGGGTCCTGTCCTGTTAAGGTTGAAGGTTTGCTGGATGGAGGTTAGGTTGTCCACTTCCTGTAATCTCTATCTTTCTTCAGGCCGTGGAGCAGAACACTAGAAGCGCTCAAAGCTACAAGCATGCAGGTAAGTGTGAGTCTGTGGAGGGGGCGGAGCTACAAGGCCGGCCACCTGCTCACCCTGGTTGTTCTCTGGCTCAGATGTTGAACGGCTGAAGGACAGCGTCCACCAGGACGACAGCAGCAGAGACAGCTACAGCTCTGAGCGCCATCCGCCGTCCGGACGCCACCATCACCACCACCATGACGGCGGCAGAGAGTCCCACAGGAAGGGCGGCGGAGAATCCAGGAAGAGAGCCTACTCCTCCTTCAGCAACGGGAAGGACCACCGTGACCACTACAGAGGCGACAGGTGGGGATTGACAGGCTGCTGCCATCACAGGATGACATCACTTCCTGGTTAACAAGCCGACGCTCTGCCGTTTCAGATACGACGGTAAACACAGGAAGCTGGAAGAGCAGCGGAGCAGCAGGGAACACCGGCCAGACGGGAAGGAAGACTATCGCTCTGCCTACCACTACCACTCAGACTGGCTGAGCGATCAGCGAGGCGCCGCCGCCGTTCGCTCTCCTCGAGACGAACGCTCTCCCTGTGACTCTCCCTTCGACTACTCCTCAGACCATAAGAGCACGCCGGAGCAGATGTGGAGCAGCAGGAAGACATAGCAGGAGCTGCTCCGCTCCTCCCATCAGCCTCAGCTGCCAGGGCCGCCGCCATGAACTCCGGGTGCGTTGGCGGCGGGCGGGCGGACGGGACCGGCCGAGCCGTGGCGCCGCCTCCGGGTCCCACACTGGATCTCCCCTTAGTGCTGCTCTGTGTTCAGGCTTACTGTGACGGTCTGGACTCAGGCTCTCCTGCAGTACCTCATATCCAACCTTTCTGTTTCCCACCAGCAGTTTTGTAAATTGTTTGATAAGATAAATAGAAAATGGAACCTGGATTTTTTTACTTCAAATAATGCTTTTGTACATATTATTTTTTTATGTTGTGTAAAATAGTGAATCAGTGGACCGTTTCCTCAGGCTTCTTATGATGACTCCACTCTGAACTCAGGCATCGTTTCCTTTTGTCTCATGAATTAATCTCAGAATGTATTTTTAATGAAAGCTTCATGTTTTTCACTACTGCAAACCTCTAGTGGTGAAATAAAGGTGAATCAGACGTTGTTGTTTAGCCGGATGGGCTTTTTAATTGTAGGCAATAATGTGGAGGTGTCTATGCAGCCAGCCACCAACTGAAGGAAGTCACTGTTGATAAACTACGTTTCTTCTATATTTCCAAAGGAATTTACACTGAAAGTGCATGGCTTTTTATGGGCTGTTTTATATAGTTGTTAATAAATCATTAAAATGGTCAGCGTACTCACATCATCCCTTCCTTTGATAAACTCTTCTTTTCTGTCATCCGACTCTGTCGATCAGGAACAATCGTCTAAAGCCTCGTCGGCCATGTTGACCTGAAGTCAGCATTTCCATCATCTCTCAAGCAGAGGAGGAAACGTTCCCTGGCCCCGTCCCTCGCTGCTGCGCCGCGGCCCCTTCCCTCGCTGCTGCGCCCCGTCCCTGGCCCCGTCCCTCGCTGCTGCGCCCCGTCCCTGGCCCCTTCCCTCGCTGCTGCGCCCCGTCCCTGGCCCCGTCCCTCGCTGCTGCAGGGGGATCAGGGCATCATCTCACTGCTTTCAGCACATTAAGGGAAGATGTTCACCACTCGCGACCCCCTCAGGATAAAGCGTGTCAGAAAATAGATGGGTGGTTTTTCTAGAGGCCCTGAAAGATGCAAAGAAATAAAAATAGATGCTGATATTTCTGTGATTCTGCTTTTGTCCAGCAGGGGGTTTCTTGAGCTCACCAAGCTCCAGGAAATGATCCCTTTGCTGAAGCGGTTCACTGCCTCAGGTAGCGATGGGCAGGGGGCTTTGGTTCCCCCTGTGCCCCCCGACAAGGAGATGGTTTGTTCTTCTGGAGCAAGCAGTTCTCATCTTAGCCTGAAGGTGGCAGCAGTGATCCCATCATTGATCCATTATCAGAACCGCTTATTCCCTGAATGAGGTGACAGGGGGAATGGAGCCTTTCCCAGCAGTCAGTGGGTGAGGGGCGGGGTCATCCTGGATGGACGGTCGGTCCGTTGCAGGGACACACAGAGACCTAAAGATGTTTTTGGTTTTCAGTTTTCTAAAAAACACAGAATAAAGTTTCCAGGAATATAAAGTTCCAGTCCATCACAACTAAACCAAAGACGGAAGGATTAGTTTTTGTTTAAATCATTTTAAGAACTAAAAAGTAATGACACATGTATAAAAAATACTTTATTTTGACAGTATTGCACATATCACGGTTTTCTGATTTTTGAAATATGAAGGCTGCTGTAGCGTCTGTGCAACAGCAGATGTCACTAGTGAACAGCGACTGGAGCATCAAAGTAATGAACCTTCAGGCAAAGCAGCGGGTTGGATCTCACCATCACTAATCATTCATGCTCACATGGGGGGGGGGGGGGGGGGGGGGTTGATATAATGCTTTTAGGTGTTCCTCAAAAACTGTAGCATCTTTTAAAGGTTCTGGAAGAGACCATTCAGTAATTGTGCATATGGGGGGGGGGGACTGGTATTGTAGGGTCCAGTATTATTCTAGAGTTCAAATGTGACAGAGAGGGCGGGGGGGGGGGGGGCGACTAATGATCTATGGGGGGAGGAGGTCTACTTCTCAGCAAACAGAGAGTCTCTTACATCCACCAGATGTTTTTTCCCATTCTGACACAGAGTGTCTGATGTCGGCCTGTTTCCCGGGGGGGGGGGGCAGTGTCCTGCAGCTGCTGTTGTGTGAATGAGATCTTCAGCACAGCTGGATCAGACGCCTCATTCAGCACAGAAGGAGGATCCAGAGTCGGTCCAACCTCTCTGACCAGTTGTTTATCTTGACCCCCTTGGATCCAACTGTGCAGCAGTAACTGCAGGGAAACCTCCCGCTCTGGGGGAGAACTGGAGCCTCCAACACAGGAAGTCTTCCCAGGTTCACAGTTCTGGCAGCAGGAATCTAAGTCTGAAGAAAAACCATCCGTTTTAACACACGCAGTAGCTTCAGTGACGATGTCCTTCACCGCCAGTCAAGACGCCAAATAATGTCCGTTCCTGCTAAGCCTTGGAGAGTTTTAACCTGAACCACTGAAGGTGTTGCTTCTGAATCTACCAACAATCACGCTTTCAAACCCAGGAACCAAAGTGACTCAAACTCCTTCCCTAATTTAACATCCTGTTAATGAACTGATATTTCCTGCTTCAGTTTAGCAAAGTCATTGACAAAGAGTTCTTCAAAACCGAGGCTGAATTAGAGTAGAGTGTTTCTGGGATGGACTCATCCCTCCCTACAGCCGTCCTCTACTGCTGATCAATTATCACAACGTCCGGTTGGTTGGACACAACCATTTAGTCCTGCGTCCCACAGCAGCTTAGCTCTTAGCCAATGGCTAACTGGCTGGACACCATGCTCAGTGAGAACATTGATCAGCATCAGAGGAGCGGCGTAGAGATGGAACCATCAGGAGAAACACTGGGGGTCAGGGAGGAACCAGAGACAGGCTGGAAGGAGAAGGTAACAGTAGGGGCTGTGGTCATTGGAGCCCTGGGGGACATAACCCCCCCACACTGGAAAACAGGCTCCTAGAGAAACATCAGAGATCTCAGTCCAGATCCATTCCAGGGACACAGGAACCCTCACATTCTCCATATGCTATGCATTTAAATGTTTATTTCATTTTGTTCAATGTAATCAGCTGTTCTCTGTGCATCTTGCTTGGTTCTGTTAAAGTTTATTTTTATAGCAGAACAATATCAGAGATGAAGAAGATCCCAGACTAAGCGGAAGGAGGATCTGCTATATGGAGGTCTGGACAGAACCAACCTTTCAACTGGTTCAGTTCAGGAAGAAACTCAGCATCTTTCTCTCCTGCCCACAGTCACATGGACACAAGGGTGTCACCTTGTGATAAAAGGGGGTGGGGGAGCTCTAAGGGTGGGGGAGCCCTAAGGGGGCGGCGCAATAAGGGTGGGGGCGCTCTAAGGGTGGGGGCTGATGGACCTACAGCTACTCAACCTGAACACTGTCAATAGGGTTTATATTTTCTGAAATGAGCTCAAACATCTATTTATTGAATGCTTTCCTATTGTTGAGAACACAATAGAACCACAGCACTCTGATATTTATAGTTCTATTTCATCCCTACTGACCGCCAGAGGTGGTGCTTCAAGCACTGAATGATCATTCTTGCGCATGCGCAGGTCGAGTACTAATGACAACAAAGTCACCTGTGACCTGCCGGGGACCCGGCAATCAATCCCTTTTGTTCTTCTCGCGCGCAGGTGTGTTGAGTACAGGTGTGTGGTCGTGTGAAGCTGGTTGCTTCTGTGTATACCACTATTTTCCTGGCTGCTTGTTGCTGGTAGCCCCGTGACCGGGTTTGGTCGGAGCTGTGGGTAAGTCTCGCCCTCCAGGGGCTGCACAAGCTGCTTTCACCTTACCAGATCTGCGGTGACTGGTAAGTTTTCGTTCTTTTCTCAGCAGTAGTTTACTGTTCGCTTTGATTTGCCACGTTAATTTTTGTTGCTCTTTTGACTCACGGTAGCGTTTCTGCTCGCGTTGGGTTCTTCTATGGTTTGTTTGCCTAAACTCACCAGTGGCGTCTCTGCTCGTGCTGAGTTCATCTTTGGTTGATAATCGATTTGCTAGTGGCGTTTCTGCTCATGCTGAGTTTGGAACCTCTACGGGGATTTTCCTACAACGGAGTCGCCAGTAGCGTATTCTGCTTGTGTTGACTTGTTGTTGGTGGCGGGCTAATCACGCCTTTCAGCAGTATGATGCTGGATAATTTATGCTGCTCAACCTGTCTGGCTCCACTTCAGCCTGACGACGGGCATGACTTGTGTCCCTCCTGTCTCGGTGTGGAACATCTTCGGGAGGCGCTGTCAGATAACGCTTGCCCCAACTGTCGTGTCATGCCCCGGTCAGTCAGACTGGATCGGTTGGCTGCACTGGAGCAGCCTACCGACTGGGCAGGCGCTGCGCCGCGTACTCATTTGCCGATGGCGAAAGCGATGTGCGAACGATCTACTGTGGCTGCACCTTCGGTACCGACAAAGCGTGCCAGACGGACCGATGCAGGGAGGTTGTCCACGAGAGTGGATCATCTCACTACTGAGCTGGCCCAAATGAAAGCCCTCCTCCAGTCCTTTCAGACTGCTGATGATTGCAGCGCCGCTCTCCCTCCCGAGCAGCATGAAATGTCAGTCATTGACGACGATGCTGTTTCTGTGGCGGCCTCTGGCACCCATTTCTGTGAGGACCTTCCGGAGCTGGGCCTCTGGGTCGGACTCCATTGCCTCCCAGGAGGATACGGTGGAGTCTGTGACATCCGCTATTCGAACGGCTCTTGCCCGTTTACAGATTAGTGTTCCTCAGGCCCAGCCTACGGCTTTCAGCGCCTTCTTTAAGCACAGTAGGTCAGAGACTGCCTTTGTGGTTCCTCCCTCTGCGGAGTATGTGCGGGAACTTCATGCTTGCTGGTCAGACACCAAGACGCTTTCACGTCTGACAAAGGATGGCAGGGTCCTGGCAGCTATGCAGGAGGCACCCAAGGTTGGCTTGGGGCAGATGCCAGCGGTGGAACCGGGCATTGCCTCTCTTATTATCCCACCTGATGAGGCTTTGCGGCCAAATGTTCGTTGTTCGCGTCCTCAGTGCCGTATTACCGACGACCTTCTCTGCAAGGCCTATGACTCTAGGGCCCGCATGGGCCGGATTGGAAACTCTCTCTCCCATCTTATGCTGGCCCTGTCTTCCTCCTTGGAATCTGTTCAAGTGGATCATGCCACGCAAGGCCTGGTTGATGCATCTTTGCAGGCCTTTGCTCTTATGACGAGGGAACTTGGACGCACACTCTCCACACTGGTTCACGCTCACCGCCAGGTCTGGTTGGCGCAGTCACCACTTACTGAGCCTTGTAGGAGGACCCTCCGGGCCCTGCCTGTGGTCCTGGGGGAGCTTTTTGGTTCTGTTGCACTGGACGCCTTGGACCGTACAGCTCAGGCCTCTAGAACGAGGCAACAGCTGGCAGGGCTTCACAGATGTGATCGCCAGCCAGTCAGCACCTGGGCAGCTGTGGGTCCTTCACGGAGGTCTTCAGGGCCTTCTCCTTCTTCCACTGAGCCCCAGGGTCTGGTACCAGGTCAGAGATCGGTCCAGAGACCTGCTCCAGATCGGAGAAACAGAGCTCGAGACCAGGCTGGGACAAGGTCCTTTGATCCCTTTCGAGCCGCGCAGTCTGGCCGGTATCCTCCCGGGCCTTCGAAGGGCCAGGGGGCCCGCAGATGATGCCTTAG